TCGGCCCTTTGACACAACGCTAAGACGTCTTGAATATAAGTCAAGTAGGGCTCAGTGGACGTCTGTGTACGGACAGCCAATTGCTTTCGGGCATCAAGTTGTTGACCAAACGGGTTGCCAAAAAGGTCGCGGAGCTGTTGTTTAAACATTTCCCAGCTTGTGATTTCATGCTCGTGGGTCTCAAACCAGGTGCGAGGGGTCTTGTCAAGATAGAAAATGACATTCGCAAGCATAACGGTTGGGTCCCAGCCATATTGCTTGCTGATGCACTCGTACATGCTAAGCCACTTGTCCACATTCACGTTGTCCTCTCCAGTAAAGGTACCGGGATCACGGGGTTGCGTTAGGGCGACGTACCGGGTTGCTGTCGTTGCTGAGGTAGGTGGCGAAGCCGTATCCTCACCCGAAGCCATGGTAGCAGACTTAAGGAGGCGTCCACTGCGTAGCTCCGTTGTCAGAAGAGTACCCAGCACCTCCACCAAAACGTTACGTGGAAAATAACAGTTGTCGGTCCGCAGCCACAACGCAGCTCACTGACAACGTCCACTTCTTTACTCTCAGTCTGAGGCACCTTACTTGGGTATGCCCCACTATGCCCTCTTTCAGTCAGACGAAATCACGTAACAATATACCCTACGTGTGAATTGACTCGGCCCTCGTGGCTACGTCTATTTCTGCCCCGGGCTTTTCCTGTCTTAGATATTGGCGCCACTTTGGAATCGTATCTGTCCATGCCACCTTTCAAAGAGTCTCCTTGGTTGTTTTCCTCGTTACTAGCTATCCTCAGCCCGAAGGGCTCGCGTGCCCCCGCCCCCCAAAGCTACTGCGCGTCCTGCAAGTCGCCAACCCACCTCATGACCTAGCCACCCATCGAAGTGAATTCTGTCTCGTAGAAAACCACCCCACCTATGCGCCTCTTTGTTTATTTCCACCACCTCAAAGCCTTTCTCTCGACTCATCTGCCATATCTCTTGGTTTGCGTTGACAACCGCTCTTTGCAGGTTGCCGTCATGCACTGGTACCTCCGGTATCGTGCATATTACCCCCTGTACCAGAGGAGAAGGGGCGCGCATGTCACTGACCCCTTTCGCCAGTGTGGTTGCTAGTTCTGCCGTATCTTCATTTGGAACATAGTTTAAACCACCTGAAATTATCATGAGGTTTCGTCCATCAGCTGTAGTTTTGCACTCGCTTGCCTCATGACTGCTTCCAGCTTGCGAACTGGGAACGTCCCTACTGCAACCCTCTTGTCACCTCTTACCCTCTCTTTGATGCTTCTGCGCATCAATTGAACCATTGAACCGACTGAACCTGTTTTTACAAACTTGCTTGCTCTTTCTTCTCCGCCGTTCTGGTTGCCGGTGTCCTACTGTTCTCTCCGTCGGCCGCTCCTTTGTTCACCATCGCTAGTGCCTCCTCGGCGGACTCCAGCCTTTCTCCCATAGCCCTCGTTTTCTCTTGCTCTGTTGCCTACGCTGTCCCCAGCTCGGTGATTCTCATCAGCAGTTCACTCTGAGCAACCATCATTTTCTCCATTTTTTCCTCGACCTCACATTGCCTACACTTGGTGCCAGCCACCTCTCAATTCGCTTCTGCACTTGGGTCCATTTTTGAACCCACCTCGCATCCTGAACACTTTACAGCTTTTTTAACCATGTCTTTCTGACACCAATCGTCCTTATTTATTGTCCCACTTGATAATTACAGAACACGGCGTACGACGAACCATGCTCTACGAAAAAGAGAGAGTTTAAACTCGACTACGAAAATTTGCGTGTTCAATGTACGTGCACCTCCCCCCGGGGTAGCAAGAGAAAGAAAAACAAAGAAACAAACACAAACACGAACTAGTAAATACCAGGTGACTGGCCCGCGAAAAAGGCGTACAATGTAATAAGTGCTACAAAGGTTCTAACTGCTGCCTTATTAATTATAAAGGCAAGCTCGAAACATGCAAAGCCACTTATCAGCGCAGTCGATCAGGAGCGCTCAAAAACACGTACATCCACCGTACCAGTCTATTCACGCTCAGTCTACTCGCGTCACTTGTCCCAGCAAGCGGGGATGGTTTCTCGCGGCGATCTCTGTAACGGCCGAGCGCGCCATGTTCAAATCAGCCAATGGCTGATAGATGGGCATTCTGCGTGTGATTTTTGAGCGTCTTCCGTCGTTTGTCGAGGGAAGAGAAAGCAATTTTAGCTGACTTTGATAATTTATTATCGATTCCAGGGCGCGTGCTGTGCTATAACATTGAACTCGCGTGTTGTCCGCAGCCTCTACTACCGATCGGCAGCGTTTGCTGACTATGCTCGAAAAGTGTTGCAGGGCCCCTTTACAGGAAACAGTTGAGTCATACGCGAGCACCTCCCGCTGGTTACAATACTAGACGAAAGAAGCAAAGTCGTCTTACTGACAATGATCGTGGAATCAACCATTGCAACCACCACAGTGACCACGAGGTGACTATCACCATAATTATTCTGAGGTTTAAAACTGGTTCTAATGTGAAGCACTGGTTCACCCCCACCTCACCCCCCCTAGCCCGTAAGCATGTGTGGTGTAAGTGTGACGTATCTCGGCTGGACATTCACGTTCCCTGGACCATCCCAGGATGGAATAGCCGCCAGGTTTTAAGATGATGTCCGTCTGGCGTAATGCATTTCCTTTGTTGGTCCTATGAGAGGTTACGCTAAATTGTGCTAAAATTGACATTTATTACAAGTAACTGCTCATGGTAGTACCTCTGGTACCACATAAAAATTGTCATATATAATACGCCCGACACTTAGCCTATCCCGCTGAGAGGGTACGTGCCAATTATCCCAGGAGCATCATCATAAGCTCAGCGCAAAGATCAGTATTTTATTCATTGTCGTGACGCTTTTTATTTTTGGGACATTCTAAAAAGAACATTAAGAAAAGAACTTCCAATCACAGCTCATGGTATTAGGTTCCTCCCATTCAAAAAGAGTCTGACTGATAATACTCCTTATGACCTGTTCATGTTGTTGGGACTTTATTCACTATGGAAAAGTCGCATGATTGATAGACACGCCGAGCCACCACGGTCGACGAGATCTGTCTTCCAAGAAGCAGCTGCTCAAGTGCGCAGTGTTGTTGAGACTTTTGACCCCGTTCCAGAGTGGCTTCCCGTTCTTGACGCTTGTGTTTGTTTGCCTGACTTCTGATGAAGTATGCTGTGTGTACTTTACTTGTGATAATTTCATTCATTAAAGAAAAAAAAATCAAGTCACTGGCGAAAAGAGTTTTGCCGCACTCGCAAACAAGAAATAACTATTACAAGGCTGCGTTTCCGGGTACCAAGTCTAAATTTCTATAAATACAGGTCTGCTCAGGCACCTTCGCCACTGTGCGCCTTCTGTGATGAACTTGAAACAATACATCATTTCTTTTAGACCTGCAGGCGGTTTAACAAAATACGAAAAACGTTTTTAGAAATACATTTACGTGGTATTATATAGAATTATCTGCGCCTGTTATTTTGTGTTTCGGAGCTTCCATTTCTGGGTTCTCTAACGCGATAGTATGTGCGGCCGTCCGGGACTATATTGATGAAACAAATAGGTTGACTAATTAATCTGCTTTATTATCCTAACGTGTCTGCAAAATTATATACGTATAAAATAAGATTATTCATCTATTCTAAGAATAAACTTGTTTCTTTATTTAAATAATTATATGCATTAGATCAAGCACCACAGTATCCCAGGTCATCGTAATCTTTCTATTATATCTACAATATTCTAAATCTGAACAATAATATTTAAAACCACTCAATTCCTGGCCAATCCCACATAGTGGGTATGCGTCACGGACAATAGGTGAACAAGAACAAGTCGTCACGCGGCGAGGGAAGAGGAAGTGTCATGCTGCACGTGTGTCGTTTGATTCCGTATCGTGAACCTCACGCCACTTGTAGTTTTAGGAACAAACTGCACAACACGCCTCACCTCAGTCCTTGCTGCTCCCAACGAGAGGCGAAGGGATCTGCCCCGATCTTCCGAGCTTCGCCTTACTCTCAGGAAATTCTCTGGACACCTTACAGCGGGTCTGTATGCGAAGCCTGGATCCTGATCCCAGGTTGTGCAGCGCTTCCTATCAACGCCCAGGTTTACGCAAACGTGCTTTGTCGACATGCATATAAGGGAAAGGGAGGAGAGGCAATCTTGAAGCTTCAGTTCATTTTAAGGCCGAGGCTTCTGTTCTAATCTACGCTTGAAGTAGCACGTGCTACGGTGTGATTTTTCTTATCATCGCAGTAAAAGCCGGCGTTTCACTTGTACTATTTCGTATCTTTCGCAGGTGCGCATAGGGACTCAACGTATGGGTTTCGTGTGAGTATCACCGGCATTGTTGTATCGTCTAATACGCGGTCGGCACTTTTTAAGTCCTCGCGCTATAGAACATGGTGTAGTCTGCACACGTATGATTTAATTGTACATGGCCTTCATACGAAAGCGTGCGCACGACACGCCTTCAGTAGGTATGGAGGTGCATCGCAGAGTACCCTCTCCCAATGAGGTCATTGCATGAGGCAGACTTCGTATACCCCACTCTTAGGAGATAGGGGAGGTAGGAGAAGCCCTATAGTTACTCCATATGCTACCTTTAAGTGGCATATACAGTAACTCTAGAACCCCTTCCCCCCCCCTTGCCCCAGGGGAGCACGCCTATGCCTTCAAATACACAGTGCTGCCTTACAGGAACAGCTGATAACTTTTTTTTTTGCAACGACGGCACAAGATGTCTCATGATTCTAGAATACCGGGAGGAGGCGACGGTGTTGCTTGCTACCCGACATGGTGTTTGTGGAACCCTTCCGCAGTCCCTTCACAGTTGTGCGATTGACACACGTTGCTTCAGCGACGTAACTGCGCAAACGCAGTCGACAGAAGACGTGGGAGGCGCTCTTCTGGGCGAGCAAGGTGCTGGCGCTCGTGTGGCGCAACGTGTGGATACGGCGCCTCCGCCGGCAGATGATGGCCACCGTGCTCGAGCTGGCGCTAGCCGCGTTCGCGCTGGCCCACCTCCCGCCCGGCAGCAAGGCCGGCGCTGCCAGCGCGGACGCGTACCACGAGCGCGAGCTGCGGCCGCCCGAGCAGCTCGACATGTACCACGTTCCCGAACAGCTGGTGCTCGACGTGTCCACCGACGTCCTAGAAGTGTTCGCCGATAAGATCAAGCAAAAAGGACGTGAGTCGAGCCTACTTCCTTTTCTAGAATACTTCAGTGACTTCGGCAGCCTCGATGCGTGTGGTTATCCTGACGTTTACGATACGTCACAAACTAAGAGAGAGAGTGAGTGAGTGAAACAACTTTATTGTTTGGTCCGGCATAAAGGGGGAAGAGGTAGGGGAGTTAAAGGAAGTGAGAGAGAAAACGTTTATTAGGCGGCCAATGAGCGAATGTGGGAGGGTCCCACGTTCAAGTTTAAAGTTTATCTACAGTTTTTGACAATAGATGACGTGTCACGAATCGTGATGGGGCCGGAGCTAAAGGCGTGTCTGTAGAAGCTTGACTCCTGGCACCACACCAAACGGCGGACAGCTGAAGAAAAAAAAAAGTCATTTATACATACATGTCAATGTACACAAATGGTACAATCACACATGGACATGTGTGTTTAGTAAAGTATAATAAAGAAAGCAATAATTCATATAAGTACAAACGTGCTTTTGGAATAATTGAAGTTAGTTATATTTGGTTGTGCAACAACAGACACGTAAACGAAAGAAAGTCGTAAAGCCGTGAAATTACATAGCGCTCGACCGAAAAATCTGGGTCTTTATAAGTTCAGCGATTTGCTTCTTTAACGTGGTTAACCTGTAAACACAAATCACTGAAGGGTCGCGGGATCAACACACACACGGATGCACAAATGCACGTAAACGCGCAAGCATGCATGCATTGCCAGGTATGCCTCATTAATTTCCAATTTACGTTGTCTCGCGCGAGCCGATTAGATATTTCGGAATTTCCCCACGCTATACGCTGAAAGAAAGTGTAAATTTGACGGCTCGTTTTCTTCGTTAGACGCAATTTGAACGAAAACTAGGGGGCAACAATACCAGGGAAAGTATAGGAGATGTTATTAAAAGTAACTTTAACTTGTGTATAAGTGATAAAAAGGGGACGGAAAGATAACTTGCCATCGGCAGGATGCGAACCTGCGAAGGTTGCAGGTTCGGATCTTGCTGTTAACAAATTATCTTTTCGTCCCCTTTCCGTGGTATTATTACCTGTTAGCTCTCATCAATATCACCCTACCTTGGTATTCATTCGGTCTCTCAGACTGGCCAACAATTGTCTGCGCCATGGGCGTAGCTAAGGTGAGGGGGGATTGGGAAGGTTACAACCCCCCCCCCCCCCCACCACCACCACCGAAATGTTTTAAATTTGCTTGCGTATATATACACGCACACATGCAAACGCACGAATGAACATTCATAAAGTGTGGCTGACCCCCACTCCCGAAAAAAAATTTCTGGCTATGCCCCTGATCTGCGCTATATATGCATTACGTGGCCCGCCCAGTTTCATTCTGCCCTTCTCAGTGTAGAATATAGATGATCGGCTACACAGATTTATATTTAACCTATTAACTCACCTAAGTTTGTAATAGCATTGGTAGTAATGCTTAGATAAGCAGGCAATTAGTCGCAAGGAGAAGCCTTTGTTTATGTTGATGCTAAATGCAACGCACTTGTGCGCAGGTTTCACGAACTTGCGCCACCGATATATGCGTTTGTTCGTAAATGGCCGCGAAGTGGACGAACCTACGGCCCCTGGGAGGATACCTAAAGACAAGATGCGGAAAATTTGGATCACAGTGTAAGATTCCAGCCGGACAAGGACGTGCCTAATACGCTATCGAATGTGCTCTCGCGTTGAATGTTCTTGTAACATTCATCGAGGTCACGAGAACACTCGCTGGCAGAGCATTCATTGACGTGCGAATGACCGTTGCCTAAAGGTATGCTGCGAAAGAGGTGAAAGAATGCGCTTGTGTTCATGTGGTTGTTCATCTACTATCTCGTCTTCTAAGCGGTGTGCAATAACGTATGCAGACATACCAACTGGCCCAATCAAACGCCCTTATAAGAATGAACGCTTTGTAGATAAGTCCTTAGAAAATCCGTCAATCAGCATACACTTTCCCATATGATTTGTATTCGGCTGTTTGCTTGTGCTGTCGTTGCTTGTGCCCCCGTGATTGTCGTATAACCGACATGATTTCTTCCTAAGCTCATGGCAGTTAGAAAAGAAAATACGTGGCGATTTAGCAGTAAGCGCGAGAAAATAGCGTCACCGTAACCACTGATCACCTTATTTATCGTCGGGTACCTTGATAGTCAACTATAGGCAAGAATATATAGCGAACATTACCCAAAATTTTTTGTATAGACATTTTTCACAGTCCGCAAGGGCGCTTCTCTGTGGTGCACATTCACCCAACTAATGGCGGCACCAGCTCCGCTCAAAGGGACCCTACAACACTATTTCAGCAACGTAAGAAAACGCTGCTGATCATTAGTCGAGGCTTCTAAGAACACACGAGCCAACCACCATTGCGCAGCACGTGACCTGGAATTTACAATTAGTTCACGAAGTCGGCTATAAATCGCTTGCTATTATTTCTACAAATGATGGTATATTTTCAAATTAGTGTGCCATATACCTAAGTCCACGACCATTCGCCGATTTCAGCATTGTGAGCTGCATAGTTACCGTGGCCACCGCGGGATGCCGCCACATGCCCGCTCGCGATCGCATTGAAAATAATGTTGAATTCCAATGGCTAAGTCGGAGCACCCGGTGAACTCCGTGAGAGAGCTCTCGATTCTGGCGCACGGAAATGCCTACAAATGCGAGATTGGAATACAATCCGCGCCACTGGAGCAAGCATGGAAGAAAAGAGGAAGCGGAAGTCGGCCAGGATACCTTGGTTGCAGCTATTCTATTCCGCTAATTCCATTGTCGAATTCAGTTGAATTACCACTCGTACGTATATGTCACTGTCGGTAACTCGATCCAATGAACTCCTCGAGCATGCGGGAACTTTCCGACTCGAGCTGTCGCTATCGAGCAAAGGAAGCAATTCCGCATGATTTGCCTAGTCTGCCATGTTGTCCGCCAATACGGCCAAAACAAGCGACGGCGGCGGCCCCAAGCGGACGTCACGCCGAGTTCCGGTCCACTCCACCGGCGGAGTAAACCCGACTGGTCTCACGGGAACACATGACTCGCACCCTCATTCACTCTGCCAGTGTAATACCCCTGTCACACGGGCACCCGCGAAGACCCTTCAACTCCCTCGTCCTTACGACAACGAAGATGCGGTCCGTGTCACACGGCCATCCTTACTCAAACGAAGGCAAACGGAGCATTTCGCAAAGGACGTTCAAAGATCTCCCTTCGCAGCGAAACGAAGTACTCTCGTACCTAGCAGTCTAGAGGTGAGAGAAAAATCTCGAGCACTAAGTGGCCGCAGTGAAAAGAATAATACATTTTGGCAATATTAAAAGTTCTATCGTTGTAGTACTCATTCACAACGCGTGTTTGTTCACATATATTTACGCCCGCCAGAGTTCACTTACTCTCAACACCGATGCCCTACACTCCGTGCCTCGCGAGTCGCGAGTCGGGCCGGCCGGCGCCATTGAAAAATATTTCGTCCATGCGTGTGGTTGTGGTCGTCGCTGTGTCACTCATGGCTGAAGAACACAAAATGTGCGCTCACAAGGCAAGGAAGCACAAGAACTTTTGTACACGGGCATGAACACAGGCAACAAAACAACTAAAATCACAATGTGGCCAGCGTCACTAGCAGCATCGCTACATTTAGGAAATATGTTTTTACTTGAAGTTAATTTAATGGTTTGTTAGCCTCTTACCTACTTAATAGTGTTTTTTTGTAAACACCCCATAACGAGGATTTACAAAAAAAATCAATTGAGATGAAATTAGAATACTTTTCCGAAAATCAAACAGCGCCAGCTGAGCCCCCTCGCGGCAACTGTTACAACCTTGTCATTGCCGTGTGACGCTGCCACAACTCCTTCTCCGTCGAACCCCCTAGGGGAGATTTGTGTTGACGGTGTTCAACGAAGTTTAGTGGTGGCCGTGTGACAGGGGTATAACACACTTGCTGCAAAACGATGACCAAGGTACTCGGCTGTTGACCCGCAGGTCGCGGGATCGAATCTCGGCTGCGGCGGCTGCATTTTCAATGGAGGCGAAAATGTTGTAGGCCCGTGTGCTCAGATTTGGGAGCACCTTAAAGAACCCCAGGTGGTTTAAATTTCCGGAACCCTCCACTACGTACGGCGTCTCTCATAATCATATGGGGGTTTTGGGACGTTAAACCCCACATATCAATAATCAATGCTACAAAAAGAGCAGAAAAACTTGCTCCGACTCCGCCATGTAGGAATCCAAAATAAGACGCGCGGTGAAACAAAAAATGAGAAGAGCTCAAGGTCCTCACTCTCGCTGGTGAAGGGGTTCGTCTATCTTCTTGCCCTCTAGTCATCCCCCTCCCTATATGTGTAGCTTTCAGTGTGCTATGGACGTCGGACTTTGGAGTTTTGCTGGCACTCAGCGCCACCTGTTGACGCAGTTTTGAGTAGTGCAAAGCCCGACTTCCATGCATAGTTTGCTGCGCAATCAGGTGCAACTACAGCATACGAAACAACGATTGAGCTAAATATTAGGTCTATTTGAGCATTGAACCCTAAGAAAAAGAGCTACGAATTTCTCTCCGCGAGTCGGGCGCGTCACCAAACCGCCGTGAAGTGCTTGCTTGTTCACTTGCCTGAAGGACGCCGAAAACAAGAGCAGACGCAACAGCTCCACGCTCTACGAAAAAAGACCCTACTCTCTAGCGCAGCGCCGTATAGAAACCATCGTCGAGGTGAAACTCGGCGAAAACTCAGTTCTACTGGTTATCTTGTGCGTGGGGGCTACCGACACTATCCTAACCACCGTGGGTGTCCGCTTTAATGCTCATTTCAAAATACGCAGCGCTTTGTTTCTTAAAACTGCGCGTTGTGGATTGCCATGGACGTAAATGTCTTCAGTGTTACTGATTTCCGCAGCTTTCTCAAAGCAGGATGGCCCCCGCCGCGGTGGTCTAGTGGCTAAGGTACTCGGCTGCTGACCCGCAGGTCGCGGGTTCAAATCCCGGCGGCGGCGGCTGCATTTCCGATGGAGGTGGAAATGTTGTAGGCGCGTGTACTCAGACTTAGGTGCACGTTAAAGAACACCAGGTGGTCGAAATTTCCGGAGCCCTCCACTACGGCGTCTCTCATAATCATATGGTGGTTTTGGGACGTTAAACCCCACATATCAATCAATCAAAGCATAATGGCGAGAGCGCTAAATACAGGCCGTTGCGAATGTGTCGAGTAAGTGATATTACTCTCGTTCTCCACTGCCCTTCGATTATGAAGCTTAACGGATCCTCGGACCACGGTGCGCGATGTGCAACAGTAGACGCCCGCGATAAAAATCGCACATGCCGTCGCCGTCACCACCGATAATCTGAAGTTGTCACCACCACACATAATTACGCACGTATTGCTTTGAAGGCTCCAAGTCCCAGCTTTAACTAGGAAGTGCTAACACGTGCTTCATACAGGTAGATCGCAAAATGATCGCGACCACAATCAGGTTTTTCTTGCCGTTGGTCTTCGCGATTACCGGAGTCATCTCGGAGGCATCGGTTTTGCCTTTTGTTGTACACTGAGAAAGTGGACATGCATGTATACCCATTTGCAGTATATAAAACGGAAGACAACCGTCAACAGAACATTCGAGCATGCGTAATAAAACAGCTCAATCGACTGGAAGCAAGAAATTGATGGGAGAATGCAGCTGCACAGCGAAAATCATCAGGGCCATTCGTGCCGGATAAAGCGAGCTTCGTACCACTGATCGCATAGATCGCTCGTGTATGCACTTCATCACTTTAGCATCATAGTGTATGTCCAAGTTTAACGCATTTAGGCGTTACAGAACGCACGTTGTAGTGCTTGCCTCGAACTCGATGTCATGTGATGCTCGCTTGCACCTATATAGCCAGTTGCAGCACGCGGAAATATATGAAACTTCTTTTGCAATGTGCCCGCTTATCGTTTTGGTGAGCTTCCTACTTTTATGAATCGAGATTGGATTGAAGTAAGAAGATTGCCAGGTCTTCGATTTTCAGTAAACCGTGCCTCAAGACCAACGAAAGAAGAGGGCCTATGCACGTTCGCTCGCGGGCGGTCCTCTGTGCACTACCCATTAATTGCCGGCGCGGTGATAGAGGAGGCACTGATGGCGGCGTTTTTCGCAGCGCCGCCTGGACAGCGTCGTCTGACGCTTGATACGAAAAGTGTGCGAAAAAGCTTCCAGAGTACGACAAATCCCTGTAACTCCGCTCGTGCATGACGGGTTCTCAAAATTTTTCGTGGCAGTCGATTGGTGAGGCAATATTGCCTCACAAATCGAAATATGGAAGTCGTAAGGCGAATATTTGAAAAAGTGTTGCAGTTGCCCTTTAAAGTGGAGAGGACGAGTTGCGCGCGCCGGGTTTTTTTTTTTTTTTTTTTTTTTTGCTAGGGAGTTTTAGAATAGCGCAACCGCGAGCCCTTGCGGTGCGGTCGCTGCCACTGCGCATGCGTCGTAACGCGAGTCACCGGTCGCGTTGGCGGCCCGCCCGCAGTAAATCTGAAATAGCGGCTGCGTGTACGAGATGTAAGTGCTGGTTTTGAGGCTATGGTGTCGCTGCGATTGTGCGTTGTGGTTCGCATGAGGGCAAACGCTATTATAAAACTCATGTGGCGCCCGCTATGCTGGTGACGCTCGCAGCATCTACAAACGTTATTCTAAAGCTCCCGATTGTGCTTTTCTACCAAAAAGTGCCGCCATATCCACGAAGTGAATGATGATGAGTGGGCGAAGCTCTGGAGAAAAACCTGGTAAACCATGAATCTTCCGTACATTTTTCCTACTCAATTTTATTACAATGCTCCCCCTAGCGTAGGTCGCCACACTAAATCGAACGATTGCCTTCCCCCAATGACACGTGCCATATGTGACAGCTTTCCTATTTTATAAGATCTCCCGTCTTTCATCAACTACAAGTACCGCTTTCTAGTTTATAACATCTTGCATCTTTTCATCATCAGCTACAAGTACTACCATCTAGTAAACACTACAAGAACTAAACGAGAGGTGGCTACATACAGGAAACAGTACCGCCATCTAGTGAACACTGCAAGAACTAAACTAGAGGTGGCTACATACAGGGGACGGTACCGCCATCTAGTGAACACTGCAAGAACTAAACTAGAGGTGGCTACATACAGGCTACAGGGGACGCACAGCCCACGCCCTAAGAAGCTTCGCCCCTAAAAGAGCTGGGGATACATTTTCCGTGTCGTAGCGCAAGCAAACTGCGCTTGAACATGTCTGCTGTCTCCATTAGGGTGGGCGAAATACGTCGCAGAAAAACTATAGCTTTACAGTTATGAAAAAAAATGTAAATCTGTATACACGCGTGTCTCGTTGACTGCAGGGTCAACTCCGAAAAAGCGCTGTTGGACAAGTGCGCGAACGAGAGTTTCAAGGGCGTGTGCGCTGTCGTACGCACCAACGTGGTAGGCAACGACAAGAGCGTCAACTACACCTGTTACCTGAACGGACACTTGTCGCCGCCCGTGATGCGCACCAGAAGGGCCGGCTACGCGCTGCGAATCGCACCCATCGAAGGTGAGTGTTAAAAATTTTGTGGAATGCCCTATGCGATCGCACATCTCGATCTTCGTTAGACTGGACGTTAGAAAGACGGGCCCGGAATTACGAGGTTAGTTCCGAGTTGGAATAATCCCGGAAGAATTTTTCGTCAAGTGGGAGGCTTTCTTTCCTTGAAATCATTGTGCTTATATTCTCTAGCGTTATGCTACGAACGGATGAGTAGAGTTTAACAGATGTGTTCAAGAATAGTAATTACACCAGCCTATCAAGTTCTCCTGCATTTTATTTATACGTTGTTTGAATAAATAGGTGTTTGGTCATAAACGTTCATGCGTGTTGCGGGCTTCCTCATTTGCCGTTATATTGACCTACTGGCATTTATTTCAAACTTAAGTAAATACATAAAAATACATAAATAAAAAAAAGAGCGCCTCAGCATCGTCAGGGCGCTGGACATGGGAATAGTGACGGCCCGATATTTAACATTACTCACTTTCGCAGGGGAGATCTCGGAGTGCCAAAATTTGATCGAATCTGTCCTCCTGGGAAACTACATAACGGACGCGTTGCCGTCTGTGCATGTGAGTGAAATACATCAGACCAAAGAAACGTTATATCTACATCTGAGTGACGTAGATAAATTGCGGTGCTTTCAATAAACCTCCGCAGAGTCAGGGCAGTCGCACAAAGTCATCCTTCAAAGGGACACTAAAACGGAACAATCAATCGGTCCAGATTGATAAAGTTTGTTCCGACAACTCTAATGCCGTTAATTTTACCACCATAGGTTTAATAATAGAAGAGACAATCAAGTCAAAATATCATCTTAAAATTAGCGCCGAATATTCAATCGTGACGTCACGGGTTGCAAAGTGTATCCGTCATATTTTGGTGACATATTGTCTCAACGAAATTTCCTCAAGCTTGGTATGTTTACTCTATATATGGCCCCCTCAGAGCTCAATGTACTTCATCTTTACCAATTAAAAGCTACCTAGGACCTAGCAGACGCTGCCATGACGTTATGGGGTTTGGTAAATTTCAAAATGGTGTCGCTCCCCGCATTTCGTTCATACGTGTTTTACCGCTTGCCGAGCGTCTTTTCGTAGCAAGCGTGGTGATATTATAACTCTGAAAGAGTAATTTAAGAATAGAAAAAAGTCTTTCTTCACCATAGTGTTTCTTTGATGCCACAGATCTTTCGAACTTGTTTGGATTAGTTCTTGGATTACATAAGTGTAAATAAAATTGAAGGTGTTAAAATGCAAAAATTAATTGGTTCATACCTCCGAGGAAACGAAATGAAACCCACAGCCTGAGAATGATCAGTTTGTGACGCACTGGGGCGCCTTATTCCAGGTGTTCTCTTCAGGCTTTAGAGCTCTGCGCCATCCTAATTGAAAAAAAAAAAGTATGGGAGATGCATTTGCCCCGCTCTGGGCTTTTAATTCAATAATGATGACTTCATGAAAAAATAGAACTTTAACTTGCGAAGTTTGTCCTTGTTTAGCGCCTAATATAGCCAGCTGGCCGCGCTATATGTCCATCATCGTGACTTGCAATAATATGTTTTAAGAAAAAAATTCTAGAATAAAAAGTTTTGAATACGAACTCCTAGGCGTTTGTTTGAAGTATCTCAGGAGTTAAGGATATGAAGGTTTATATGAACTGCATTCTGGTGCAAAAAAAAAAAAAGTGGCGAGGATGTCACCTAACTTACATTTAAAAAAATTGAACTGTGTGGCCCTTCTTTCATGGAGGCACTACGAAACTAAGCTTCCCAATCTGACCGCAGGCTGCGTCCCAGATGTTTCCTCTGCCTCGATACCCGACGCCGCCTCCGATGGACAACGTGATCGCCAGCATGTGTTTCCTCATCACGTACATGATGCCCTTCAGCCGCTCGGTGTGGACCATTGTCGAGGAGAACAGCTCGGGCATGGCGGTGGGTGAAACCGTTCGATTCCACGCCAATCTAAAACGAAACCTTTACCACGGGCCGAAACGTCCTTTTCAGGGTTGATCAGCTCCGTGTGTCCCTATAGCCTTGCGCACGAGAGTGAAAGAGACAATTGTTTCTGCGGCCTCGACACGGCACTTCAGTTAGAATTTCAAACCCTAACTCTATTGCAAGGTATACAGCAGTGTATACTGGCCATATAGTCTGACGGCTCGGGAATACAGTCGAACCTCTTTATAAGAGACACTGGTATAACAGACAAATGGGTTTAAGAGACACAAGTGTACCTACAGTAAAATACGGGCTGATAAGAAAATGCGTGTGGGTATTCTTGTAAGAAACATCTCATATAAAAGACAAGAATTGCTGCCCAGAGCGCGCCTCTTTTAAATGGGTTCAACAGTGTCACCTTTTTTTTTCTCTTTTTTAGACCATGGCCTATCTATTTTTAGCCATAAACTGTATACCTGAACGTACACTACTCAAGGTCTGGAACATCACATCACTTTTTCTTTGGGATGACTGCAGCTATGACTGATGGCTCATCATAACGGCTTCATGTCGTTCTACATCTCGTCGCTAAGTGTTTGCTCAGATGTCAGTGTTACGAGTAAAAAAGTATGCTAATATGACACAAACTGCATACGCGTCAAACAAACGTATTAGCGTTACTTAGCCTTGCATTTTCGCGTTTCAACGCGTGAGTATACTGTTCTTGAATCTCCTTCAGTCGATGCTTCGCTCGATGGGAACGAGTGACATGGTGTACTGGCTGGCGCACTTCGTCTCCACCTTCCTGCACGTCTCGTTCTACTCGCTGATGGCGGTGTTCTTCATGATGTACAACACGTACCAGGTGACACCCGGTAGCTTCTCCTTCGAAGACTACCAGCACGTCCGGGACTACGCGCCATACCTGAACGAGCACCTCGTGCGACGAGACCTGCTGGCCGCCCTGTTCACGTTGTTCGGCGTCCAGACGACGCTGCACGTCATGCTGCTCTCTTGCGTCAACACGAGGCGTGAGTGATGTGTTTTGCAGGCGAATTTCGTGATAGCGGATACTAACGATTGGCATCACTGACTGACAAAGTGGGGCGGCTGTCTCTGTGAATGGCCTTGAACGCTATTCTACGACATTAGTGGAAAAGAAAATACAGGGGGCACTTGTACATCTCAATAGTTCGTGACATGTATAACAAGTGTACTTTTTTTTACATTTCATTTCACGAAATGTAATAAATTCCTATTATGTTTATAAATACCGTGTGTTTGTAGGCATTATGCAATGTTCTATTTTATTCAGGTGCATTCATTTAGTTTATTATATTTCGATATGCGTTTAATATGTGCATGTATGCTGTATCAGGACTGTTTCTTGGCTCAGTTGGTACATGCTTAATGACGTACTTTATCCGCGAAATAACACAAACACAGAGTAAAGAAACCCACAACGACAAGGACAGGTGGCACTTCCAACTAAAATTAGACTGAGCGCAAACACAGAAATGAGTATGCAACATATAGACGTGTGGATGTTTCACACAGCCTTACGCTATCAAGCTATTGAACAATCTGTTTTCCGATACGTGCAACGTCACCGACGTATCGCTGATGCACCTATCTCTTTTTTCCTTCTTTATTCAATAAGCTTCTATTAACTTAGGCAAAGTTTGATACCTACTCATGTCTAAATTCTTCATCTTTTTAAAACATAATTGCAGGTTTCCAACGTATAAGAAAATGCGCCAAGCCATCATTCATTAGTTTTAATTCATGCTCCCTAGCTCGTTTATTAATACCGCGCCAGGTCTGCCCAGTGTACGATTTGTTTACTCTATGTTTGTGTTATTTCGCAGCTAAAGTATGTCATTAAGTATGTATGCTGGTTTTAGTCTTACTGCTGTCATGTGAGTGCCTTCAGGCACATTCAAGCTATAGTGCAACTTTTCACCTGAAGAACCCCCAACCATTTCGTTCGAAAATAAGAACATATCTAGTTTCTGATTCTCAAACCTAATCTGTAAACCACTCTTGAACGAAACATGCGAGCATTCTGATTTCGCGTTAGCACCATGTACTATGCGCGTCTTACTAAGCTCTGTTAAGTTAATAGAACAGTCTTTTCTTGTGCAACACATGTCCCCGCCTTCCCTTCTGACTGCAGCTATCACAAACCACCGTGCTAGGTTCAGCATCACTTCGGCGGGGCGGCTTTCCGCTTCATAGTAGAGTACGAAGTACTCTAAATTGTTAAACACTTTTTCAACACAAACCACTGAGTATCAGACTATCACTATCTATCTATCTATCTATCTATCTATCTATCTATCTATCTATACTATCTATCTATCTATCTATCTATCTATCTATCTATCTATCTATCTATCTATCTATCTATCTATCTATTCTATCTATCTATCATCTAGTCTATCTTCTATCTATCTATCTATCTATCATCTATCGTATCTATCTATCTCTTATCTATCTATCTATCTATCTACCTATCTATCTATCTATATATCCTATCTATCTACTATCTATCTATCTATCTATCTATCTATCTATCTATCTATCTATCTATCTATCTATCTATCTATCTATCTATAATGAAGGAATGATGATAACAAAAGGAAACAGCAAGCATCATCGCAGAGTAAGGCACCACGAGATCGCGCTCGAGCTCCTCCATCTACCTCGTCCTGTCGCTATCTCCAATCTCCCACCTGCCCGTTGGCTTCGCCCAATAAACCTCTTTACATTTGGTGGATCGTGCTGGGTAACCACATCGCCTACAACCTGGAACTCCGATCTCGCACCCTGCCGTCGACCATGCAAGTTGACGCTGCCCAACAAACAATACCTCTCGCGGCCACTACTTGCCCCGGCCCGGTTCATCAGCGAGACCCCCCGATCTTTGCCGGCAACCGAAGACCAGGACGTCGAGGACTGGCTGTCGTCATACGAGAAAGTCAGTGGACCCAACAGGTGGGATGACGCTGCTAAGCTAGGCACTGTCAATTTTTATCTCACCGACGTGGCCAAGCTGTGGTATACGAACCACGAAACCGAGTTCGCGAATTGGTCCGCCTTCAAGGAGGCAATACGTGCCGTTTTTGGTCGTCCTGCCTTGCGGAAGCTACGCGCCGAACAACGTCTGCGCACACGGGCACAGGAGCGAGGTGAAACTTTCACATCATATATAGAAGATGTGATTGATCTCTGCCGGCGCGTCGATGCTTCCATGAGCGAGAGTGCGAAGATACAGCACATTATGAAGGGCGTCGACGATGACGTTTTCCAGATGCTTCTCGCGAAGTCTCCAAGCACTGTGGCAGAAGTAGTGACTTTGTGCCAAAGCTATGATGAATTGCGGAGGCAACGAGCTCAGACGCGACGCTCATTCCAGACAATCCAACCAGTGACCGCACTGGACGCTATGGCTGACCAGGCAAACCTTCTCGCACAAATGAAAAACTTCGTGCGAGAGGAAGTGGCTCGGCAGCTTTCTCTGCTGCCTTTTGCTCAACACCAGGAGCTCTCGTACCAACAGCCACTGCGACACCCACCACCATTGGCTCCCATGCTCCGACATGTGGTCCAGGAGCAGATTTCCGAGGCTATACCGGTGCCCTTGCAGCAGCCCACCGTCACCGCGCCTCTTACTTACGCTGAGGCACTAAAGCGGCAGCAGCGATACCACCCCCCGTCGTTCCAGGGACTGCCGTATACCTCAGCCCCGACTCAGCCGTCCACCGCCTGGGTTCCTCCCATTGCCACCACAGCCTCGACACACCCGTCTGCCGCATGGACTGGTCCCCTCGTCGCCAATACTTGGAGAACGCGGGATAACCGGCCCATCTGTTTTGCGTGCGGCGGCCCTGGCCATATCGCCCGTTACTGCCGTCGTCGCGTGCCGGGATACACAGACGCCCGGACACAGAACAGCTTCATGGACCTTTCTCCATCCCGTCTGGAAAATTCTGACCCTCAGTCAAGCTCGTCTTCACGGGAATGTCCGCGTACTATGTCTGGTCGCTCACCTTCACCCCGTCGTCGCTCCCTGTCACCCATGCGTCGTCGGCCAGCTCCTGAACACGAGGGAAACTAACCGCCGCAGTTCAGGAGGCAAGAACTGCGCTGTCGAAATGCTCAAGTCCTCGGACATTGCCGTCGAATATTGTCGAAGTCTTTGTAGAAGGTACTCGAGCATATGCTCTAGTGGATACTGGTGCTGCCGTTTCCGTGATAGACGCTAAACTTTGCCGCAAGCTCCGTAAAGTGACGACGCCTCTTAATATGATGTCCTTGCAAACAGCGAATGGAGACCCGGTTCAGCCTGTAGCCGCCTGTACTGTCCGACTGATGATCGCGAATGACCACTACACTGTTGAGTTTATTGTCCTGTCGTCATGCTCACACGACATCATACTTGGATGGGATTTTTTATCGCGTAACCATGCCGTTATTGATTGTGCAAGATCGGAGCTTGAACTTTTCCCGTTTTACGACCAACCAACCAGCCGCATTCAGCCCGCCGTACACAAACTCGTCGTCAAAGAAGGCACTGAAATTCCTCCGACAGCAGCTGTGTTGCTCCCCGTGTTCTGTGACGGCATTAGGAACGAAGCTGCATTCTTTGAGCCATCAAGCCTCTTCCTTAGTCGAAGATCACTTCTTCTGTCTTATTCAACCCTCTCTATTTCTGAAGGAAACAGTGCTCTTTGCCTCATCAATCCCCTTCCAATATACCACCTTGCGAGCTTTTCGATTCATCGATTGCCGACGGACTATCGCCATCTGAACGCTCTGAGCTCCTTCAGCTGCTCTACCAGTTTCGTGAATCCTTTGACGTTGCTCAACCTACCCTTGGCCGAACTCCCAGTTTTTTCCACCGCATCGACACAGGTTCCAACGCGCCAGTACGACAGCGACCATACCGTGTTTCCGCCACAGAACGTCAGGTTATCACCGAACACGTTGACGATATGCTCAAGCGCGACGTTATCCGACCTTCCCAAAGTCCATGGGCATCACCTGTCGTTCTTGTTAAGAAGAAGGATGGTACAATTCGCTTCTGCGTTGATTACAGGCGCTTAAATAAGATCAGTCGCAAAGACGTATACCCTTTGCCCAGGATTGATGACGCCCTTGATTGCTTACAAGGTGCCGAGTTTTTTTCGTCGTTAGATTTGCGTTCGGGGTATTGGCAGGTGCCCTTAGCAGATGGTGATCGTCCAAAAACAGCATTCGTGACACCGGACGGGCTATATGAGTTCAATGTCATGCCCTTCGGCCTCTGCAATGCGCCGGCCACATTCGAGCGCATGATGGACTCGGTTCTGCGGGGTTTGAAATGGAACATATGCCTCTGCTACCTCGACGATATTGTCGTCTTTGCACCCGATTTCGCAACACACCTTGTACGCCTGAAACATGTCCTCACGTGTCTGAAGAATGCGCAGCTCCAACTGAATCTAAAGAAATGCCACTTCGCTGCTCGGACGCTCACCATTCTCGGTCACGTCGTATCAAAGGATGGTGTTCTTCCCGACCCGGCTAAACTACGCGCTGTTGTTGAATTCCCCAAACCAACGACTGTAAAACAGTTACGCAGCTTCGTAGGATTGTGCTCCTACTTTCGTCGGTTTGTGCGCAACTTTGCCTCCGTAATTGCCCCTTTGACCCAACTTTTAAGCAGTGCCAACGACATCTCATCATGGTCTTCCGAATGTGATCACGCATTTACCACTCTTCGCCGTCTCCTGACATCACCGCCTATATTGCGCCACTATGATCCCACGGCTGCAACTGAAAATCCATACAGACGCCAGCGGTGTCGGTCTCGGTGCAGTTCTCGCTCAACGCAAGCCTGGATCCCCTGAGTATGTCGTCGCCTACGCCAGCAGAACGCTCAACAAGGCTGAGGTAAACTACAGTGTTACCGAAAAAGAGTGCTTAGCCATACTTTGGGCAATTGTGAAATTTCGCCCATACTTATATGGCCGCACCTTTGCTGTAGTTACAGACCATCATGCCTTATGTTGGTTGTCGTCGCTGAAGGATCCATCAGGTCGCCTTGCTCGTTGGGCTCTGCGACTTCAAGAGTATGACATCCGCGTCGTGTACCGTTCCGGCCGCCAACATGCTGATGCTGATGCGCTCTCGCGATCACCACTGTCGACTGAGGCTGCCTCTATATCTTCTATGGAACACGCGCTGTCCGCTCTTGACATCGACACAATGACCTCTGCACAGCGCGACGATCCATGGATAACTTCGCTTCTGGACGTCTTATCTGGGGTACCGACACTTCCCATCACTCGAGCAATGCGACGCCAGGCTTCGCACTTCACCATTCGAGGTGGACTCTTGTACCGGCGCAATTACTCACCAGACGGCAGGAAGTGGCTGCTCGTTATTCCCCGAAAGCTGCGCTCTACAATCTGTGCATCATTTCACTCCGACCCGCAATGCGCTCACGCCGGTGTCTTCAAGACGTACGAGCGTTTAAGGAAGCGGTACTACTGGCGTGGGATGTTTACTTTTGTTCGACAGTTTATTCGCGGCTGCCACGAGTGTCAGCGACGAAAACAGCCGCCGAATGCAGGAGCAGCTCCACTACAGCCGCTTGCGTGCCCTGACCGCCCATTCGATCGCGTCGGAATCGACCTTTATGGACCACTGCCATTGACCACAGCAGGTAACCGGTGGGCTATCGTTGCTGTAGATCACCTGACACGGTACGCCGAAACCGCTGCTCTTCCTACGGCGACCGCTCAGGACGTCGCATCTTTCATCCTCCATCGGTTTGTGTTGCGTCATGGCCCTCCTCGCGAGCTCCTCAGTGACCGGGGCCGTGTATTTCTATCCGACGTAATCCAAGCACTTCTCCGTCAGTGCCATATTGTACACCGGATGAGTACTGCTTACCACCCTCAGACGAATGGCCTGACTGAGCGGTTTAATCGGACCCTGGGTGACATGCTCGCGACGCATGTGGCATCTGACCAAACGAACTGGGACCTGGTTCTTCCGTTTGCGACCTACGCGTACAACACCGCTACCCAAGTCACCACCGGCTTTTCTCCATTCTACCTTCTATACGGACGTCAACCATCGCACACAATTGACACTTTGCTGCCATACGCACCAGATGTATCTGAGTGCACGACCGTGTCTGAAGCCGCCCGTCACGCCGAAGAATGCCGCCAACTAGCGAAGCAGTTTACTACGGCTGACCAGCAACGCCAGAAAAAGGCCCGCGATGACGACCACCCTCCTGCCGCCAAGTTCGCCCCTGGAACCCATGTATGGCTGTATGTACCACCCTGTGCACCTGGTTTGTCTACCAAGCTACTTTCAAATTACCATGGCCCATACCGCGTGGTAGAGCGCACATCGCCCGTCAATTACGCCATCGAACCGCTTACGCCACCCGGTGACCATCGTCGGCGTGGACACGATATTGTTCACGTGTACCGCTTGAAGCCGTACTTCGACCCGCTCGTTCCTACTTGTTAGATCGCCAGGATGGCTTGATCTTTCTCGACGGGGCAATTATAATGAAGGAATGATGATAACAAAAGGAAACAGCAAGCATCATCGCAGAGTAAGGCACCACGAGATCGGCGCTCGAGCTCCTCCATCTTCCTCGTCCTGTCGCTATCTCCAATCTCCCACCTGCCCGTTTGGTTCGCCCAATAAACCTCTTTACATATCTATCTATCTATCTATCTATCTATCTATCTATCTATCTATCTATCTATCTATCTATCTATCTATCTATCTATCTATCTATCTATCTATCTATCTATCTATCTATCTATCTATCTATCTATACACCTGTATGTCCGTCCGTCCGTCCGTTCGTCCATCTGTCTGTCTGTCTGTCTGTGCTGTTGGCCTTGTCACTGTTATCCCAGTTTGAACGGTGCAAGAATCACTACCACTAGCATTTTACGGTAGCAGCCTGTTTCCTCTGTAATAATGTCGGGGAGCGATAGCTGATTCTCGGCTTACTCGCCCGCTGGTAGCGCTGCTGGCAATGTTGCTGGCCGCTTTCTACTGGATGGCAATGTTCGCCATGAGCAAGCCTTGGGTGACGCTGGAGGACTACCTCTTTGACGACCGCTACCCGAAGTACTTGGCGGCCATGTTCCCCGTCAACATGCTCTACACCAGCTTCTTCCACATACGCTGGACCATATATTCGGCTGTAAGTAGCCGCCAGGTGAACACGCCAGCCTTCTCGAGGTTTCCTCCTGCCAAGCTCTGTCTTATGAGCAGATAGAATATTAGCACACACATCCCTAAACCGGCTTCTACGTTGTATACATTTTTTTGTTGAAACGCTGTGCCTAAAACTCTCCAGGGGTTCTTTAACAAATGGAATCGATCGCATTTTAGTATAATTAAGGAGTTTTGCAATTGCAGACTGCTATATCTGCGTTCTTTCTTTACTAGGGCATGCGGAATCCCTCCGTATGGCTGTACTCACTACCTTAACTGCACCTGCCTAACTGCCTTATGCAGTTAGGCAGGTGCAGTTAGCAGCACTTCGAGATCGGTAATAGTGCACTTCAAGTTGTAAAAGACTATGTCTACTTAGGGCAGGTAATAACCGCGGAGACGAACCACGAGATTGAAGTAACTAGAAGAATAAGAATGGGGTGGAGCACATTTGGCAAGCACTCTCAAGTTATGGCAGGTAGATTGCCACTAGCCCTCAAGAGGAAGGTATATAACAGCTGTATCTTGCCGGTACTTAGCTATGGAGCAGAAACCTTGAGACTTACAAAGAGGGTTCAGGTTATATTGAGGACGACGTAGCTAGCAATGGAAATAGAAATGGTATTTGTAACCTTAAGAGACAAGAAAAGAGCAGAGTGGATTAGGGAACAAACGAGGGTTAATGATATCATAGTTGAAATCAAGAAGAGGAAATGGACATGGGCCGGGCATGTAGCGCGTAGACAGGATAACCGCTGGTCATTAAGCGTAACTAACTGGATTCCCAGAGAAGGTAAGCGGGTTAGGGGGAGACAGAAGATTAGGTGGGCAGATGAGATTAAGAAGTTTGCGGGTATAAATTTGCAGCAGCAAGCACAGGACCGGGTTAACTGACGGAACATGTGAGAGGCCTTTGTACTGCAGTGGACGTAGTCAGGCTGATGATGATGATGATTAACTGCCTCATGAAAATCTGACCTCGAGAAATGTGGCGTGCGGCAATAAAACTCCCGTAACTTCATAATAGTCTAAGCGAAATTGGGGTTCTAGCTGGAGTGGAACCCATCGGTTCTGCACGACACTCAAGTGTTCTGCCACAGAACCCCAGGAGCATTTGAAACTTTTCTGGTAACAGGCTCTATCTGGTGACATGTCGGCAAAGGAGTCACGTTAACAGCCGTAATATTTTTTGGCCAAGACGTATGTCGCCAAGCGTCAGACCATTTGAATGGCGTGAAAAGTGAGTGGTGTAAGCTTGCCACCCATTGCAAAAGGTTCAGCCATCATTTAATCATAATAAACCACAGCATCAGTTGTGTGTGGCTACACGTAGGTGCTTGCACTGCTTTTCGCAATTGTACCTGCTTTAGGTGCTCTACGAGAGTTCAATATTGATCGGCGGTCCATGTGTGTCGCCACATGATGCAGACGGTAGCTGTTCGGCAATCGGTCAAGCTTACTGGATCATCTCTGATACCACTCTAATAGTTGATAATACCGATGTAGCAGCGTACACTAAGGTGGTAGTGTTAGTGCTAAAAACATTTCAAAAAGAGAGGCATGCAGCTGACCGCCTTATAAGAGGACGGCACCCACAACTAGCAGGTGGGGATCCCTAGTACGTAACCCCGTTGGCGTCGGCTGTCGCCTGGGCTCGTCGAACCAAGTCATTTCGGGCCTGAAGTTAAGAACAGCCAAGCAGGGTCACCTCCTACTACTCCCGGCTATAGGGTTGAGGATAGGGTGGCTGCAGCGAGCGCTGAGTATGACAATGTGCAGCTCCCACGTGATCACCTGGTGAATGTAGGTAGACGTCACGACAGCCTTTAACCTCCTGAAAAAAATGGCTTTATGATGACATGAAATTATTTATCACTCTGGACCACATTGTAGCATACTTTCGGCTGTGTTATCAAAGTCCCGGATATTTCATTTAACGCCGAAAAAGAGTGCAGCGAAAGGATAATTGTACTTCAGTGCGTTTCCGTTGCGTTTAATTGCGCCGATTGGAGCGCGAAGCATAAGCAAGGAAATGACGAACACAAATCGCTTTCTGTTTTGCTCATAGTCGTAGCCGACTGGAAGATACTGTCGTCGCGAGCATTCCACGTGGACAACCTGCGTCTGGGTAGCTCATGGCGTGCCACGATCCTGACCTGCATCGCCATGTTGGCCGCCATATGGTACCTGACGCACGTGCTGCCTTCAGTGTGCGACCATCCGCTGGCTCCTGGATTCTTGTTCACCGCACGTATCCGCTTTGTCATATATTGTGAGCACGAGGGGCACAGGATGCGTGGCTGCCCCCCGCCCTTATTTTTTGCTAAGGAGAGATGGGTTGGAGGAAGGTTGGGGCTTAACTTCGGCCCATATGTCCGCTAAGTTTATGGCCACGGTTTTTCACAATAATGGCGACCGGATGCCCTTGATGGTGTATTCAAAAAGCTGTTTACTTGAAATGTCTAATTTAGAAAAGCTGGGACCAAACGGCGGACTGTTGTCAGAAGCACGTCATTGCTCCATTTTTGTTTTTAATTTTGATTCCTTGTGAAGAATAGTGTCCTTTGCACTAGACCAACGGCCAGGGTTGCCGTTGAGTGGGCTTCAAAAGGGGCCAGAATTCAAGCGAAAAGTAGCCAAACTAGCCACGGCTTTAATAATGCCACCTGATTTGTTGTCAAATAGAACAGGAGTGATATAATATATACAGTCTGTGCTACTGATGAATAAATAGAAGAATTTTCAATATGTAAATCGAGACGTTTCAATGTAGCCAGAAAATAGCGATGGTGCCAATTGCAAATTTTCGTCGCTAAATGGGTCCAAAAGTAGTCAATTTGGAACCCGTTGGCACGCCTGTGGGCTCAGTATCGTACTAGCTTCGTGCCATGCTTGTTACATAAAACTTGAAACATAAGAGGAGTGTAAAATTGAACACACGCACGTGCACGAGCCGACGAACACGCGCCCAAATATACCTGCAAGTCGTACAACCTTGTGTGTTCCACCTTGTGCAGAAGAACTACTGGTTCCCCCACGTGGTGGAGGTGCTCGAGGTGGGGACGATGACGCTGCCAGAACAGCAGCCAAGTACTTACTTTGAAGAGCTGCCCGAGGGCGTGACGATCGTTGTGCGTACCCACGACCTCACCAAGGTGCGTCGATCGGAAACCGCATTTTGCCATGCGGCGAGAACAAGCAAGCCTGCTGGCCATAAGAAGGCCCCTAAAATACCTCTGAAAATACCAAACACGAGAGTGTTATCCTCACCCAGCGTTTCCCGTCTTTGCGGCACAATTCGTGACGCCAGGTGTTGGTTCACGTGACATCAGGATGGAATGAGCTCTTGATTGATCGATATACGAGAGATATCTGTCTTGAATTGTTGCCTAGTAAGTAGTGAGTAGCTTCCGAAAAAAAAAGTAAGAAGGCATCTTATTTTTGTCTGTCTAAATGGTGACACGGCGCAGTGCTTTGTAGTAATGGGGGAGGGAGATAATTAAACGAATAGTAGAATGAATAGTAGAAAAGAAAGATAAAAAAGACGGAGCACTCGCCACACATGAGCGACGGAAAAAGTAGAGAATAGATAAAGAATACAGGAAGACAGGCGTCGGAGTCCGTGATCTCTGACGCCAGCGCAGCTCTCGCCGATCGGCCCACCGTCCGCGTTCTCCTGGCGTCACGTAGCTCTCGCCGATTTGGCTACCTTGTTTTGCCACGCAGTCGCACGTCTGTTCTGCCTTATCTCTCAATGACTATTGTGCGCGATAAACCGATTTCACTGTGTTTTCCGCATCTGCGACAAAGCGGACGTCACCATTGTGTAGTCGAAAAGCACCCAGTATCCCTGCTGACTCAACGCTACAGTACTGACATTCCACGTCATTCACGAAGATATAAGTGGCGAGGAGAAAATAGAGCTTGTAGAAATGGTAATGAAAGCGCGAAAGAAACTACCATTGTCGCCCATCAACGCGGCATGGCTTAGGAACCGTTTAAAAGAACCTAAGATGACTTGAAGGCGAGAGCCGTATTTTTCTTCACAGTCGATTTATTCACCCCCCACCTTTCCTAATATCACCCATCCGAAAAAACGTTCTGCCCCTCACCTGGGGTCGCGCTGCTTTCGCTAGCTGCTCTTACAAACCGAGCGCTCAAAAAAGGGCGCGCCGTCAAATTCTCGCGACGAAGCGCCGAGAGGTCAACGATAAAAAAAGAAAACAAGCATCCAAAGTCTCCCCGGGCGCGCGTCCCTCTCCCCTCGGAAGCGTAGGTTCGCCGACGAACCTCCTCTCATCGGCGCCCGAGCAAGCCCTGGAACTTTCTAGATGGAAAGGGGCGTGGTGATGCCATGTTGCGTCATCCGTCGCGGACGGCCTTCGAACCGCCTCGCCCTTTCCCCCAGCCTTCGCTGCGTATCACGCCAACGAAATGATGAGAACTTTCTGGAATCTCGTGCGGAAGGTATTTAATTGAGCAGCCGAGATAAGAGATCAGCAGAAGAAGGAAGTTAACGTCAGAGCGCGTAGGGTATCGCGCCGCGTCTGTCGGTGAAGGTTTTGTTCTTCGTGACAAAGCAGAAGAAGAAAGTATGAGCCAGAGTGCGTAGGGTGTACCGCCTTGTGGGCGAAGCCTTTTGTCTTCCACGACAAAGGAGGAGAAGAAGGAAGTGGAGAAGAAGAGGATTTTTACCTGATGGGTGAAGGCTCGAGCTACAGGCAAGAGTGTGTGTCTACCGCTATCGAGCGAAGAGGCGTGGCAACAGCTGCGTGTGGGAAGCCGACGTGTTTCCGGCGAAGAAGTTTGAAACTTGGAGAGTGGCCAATTGAAGACGCGAGGTTTCCTGGAAGAGAAACTTCAGGGGCAGCGGAACGACAACAACACTGGACTTTGAGTGAGTGATTCTCGGAAGAGTATCATTCAGAGTTTTGTTCCAAGAACTTTGGACTGAATAGGTTTTCTAACTCTTTAGTCTTTAAGTGTCTTGGTTGTTCGATGCATGCGACTGCATTGTAGTGTGTATTGTTGTCTGGGTCCGTTGTTTCGAGTGTGGCTGATTGTACTGTGTAGTACATTGTTTGATTGGTGACATAGTGTATTCGACTAATGTCGAGTGTACATACTTGTGTATCGTTTTGATCTGCCATAACTGAGAATATAATTTTGTTTTGTTTATCAACTCTCGGCCCTGACTTGTTCTTTGGGCCACAGCCAGCGTCCGCTGGCGCGCCAAATGGGACCACTTCTAAATTGTCCACGCTTTCGTGGTGCGGTTCGGGGGGCCGATACTTCGGCCCTTAGAATTAGCCCGGCGATCGCCTCCCTAATAAACGGGACCAGTGACAATTATTCTGGCGTCCGCGACAGGACCTTTTGGTGCACAGTGTGCCCAAAGTAGTGAGAAAGAGCCTCGAGTTGTTGGTAGTGCTATCGGAACGATTTTGTGTGTTGTTCAGTGTTCTCGTTAACGAGTGCAGGGGAGTGTTCCGATAGACTGATTTAGGCAGATACTTTTTACACGCGGCAAGGTTTTATTTGCGAAACACCATGGATCTCGAAAAGTTAGTAGCTCTTGGTGAAAAGATGAGTCTTTCTGGCGCCGAACTACGGAAATGGGTAAGCCAGAAGGAGAAAGAGGTGGTGGAGAGAGAGAGGTTGGCAGATGAGAGTGAAAGAAGAAAGAGATCAGCAATTGGAGTTGGAGCTGGAGAGAGAAAAGTTGGCAGCTGAAACGGCGAAAGAAGAAAGAAAAGCAAAGGAGCGACAGCTGAAAGAAGAAAGAGAAGCAAAGTAGTGACAGCTGAAAGAAGAAAGAGAGGCAAAGGAGCGACAGCTGAAAGAAGAAAAAGAAGCGGAGATGGCTGAAAGGGAACGGCAGCGACAGCACGAGATGGAACTCGAGCGACTCCGTTTGCAACAGCGAAGTGAAACTCCCGTCCAAGCTAGAGTTGAAAGCAGCTAACGGGAAGATCATGGCTTCCGCTTGAACCCAAGCAAGCTGCTCGTAGCGTTTGATGAAAGGAAGGACGACCTTGACGCGTACCTTCACCGATTTGAGGCGATTGCGAGGAGCCAGAATTGGCCGGAACATCAATGGACAACTGCTTTAAGTACTTGCTTGAGTGGTGAAGCGCTCAGTGTGTACGGTAGGCTGACGCCGACCGATGCAGCCAACTATGCAAAGGTGAAAACTGCTTTACTGAAGCGATTTAGATTTACTGTGGAAGGATTCCGGGACAGATTTTGGACAGGAAAGCCAGCTGATGGTGAGACGGCTACGCAGTATGCTGCCCGACTTAGCCATTATTTCGACAGATGGATTGAACTTTCAGGGACAGCGCAAGAGTACGATGAGCTTAGAGAGCTCCTAATTAGAGAACAATTTCTTACTAGTTGCCAACCAAGCCTGTCGCTGTACTTGAAAGAGAGGAGAGCTATGTCACTTGAAGGCATGCTTGAATTAGCTGATCAATACTTGGAAGCGCAAGGTGGCACTAATTTGGCCAAGGTCAAGAAGGAGTATCCTGAAGATTCGAAGAAATCGGCTCCCGAAGAAAAGAAGCGTGCACCGGAGGGCCTTCCGTGATGTTTCATGTGTAACCAAGTGGGTCACCGTGCTAACAACTGCCGAACTAACTTCACGAGCCCTACAGTTGTAAAATGTTTCAAGTGTGGTCAGACTGGGCACAAAGCAGACGCATGTCGTAACGGAGCGAGTCAAACTCACCAGGTATCCTGTGTGCTAGCGGCACCGAAATCCGATGGTGATGCCGTCACCGACGGATTCGTAGAGTTGAAAAATGGGGAGAAACTTCCTATTGTGAGTGCTGTAATGACAAAACAGCCAACCGGTGTTACGAAGGGAATGCCAACGCTGCCTGGAAAAGTTGCGGGCAAAAAAGGTTACAGTGTTAAGAGATACCGGTAGCTCCACTGTTATCGTGCGAAGAAATTTGGTGCGGGAACGTGAGTTAACAGACAAAATGAAACCGGTATGCCTAATTGACAGTACGGTTCGGATGCTTCCCGAAGCAGAGATTCAGGTTGAAACCCCGTACTTCAGCGGGAAGGTTACTGCTCTATGCATGACGACCCCCCTGTACGACCTCGTCCTCGGAAACATCGACGGGGCGTGAGGGCCGGATGATACAGAACGATTGGGAGAAGACCCTAAGATAGAGCCTTCGCCAACCCAGTGACCGCGAGATACAGTGGAGGAGCATCCCGTGACGGATCTCACTCGAGCCCAAGGTGAAGCCGCGATGCAAGAGACAGTGAATGAGGAGATCACCGTATTGAATGAGTTCACGTGCTGGGCAGCTGGACTTACGTAGGCACGACCTCAACCGACCGACAGTGTAAAGGTGACGGAGTCGGTCAGCCAAGCCCAATGTCGTAACATGAACAAGCGGGTGACAGGATCGGTTGAACGTTATGACCCGTTAACGGTGTCGAAAGTGACAACGATGGCTGAGACGCCGCCTCAGATACCGTCGTTGGGAGAGCTCGCCGGAACAAAACGAGGAAAAACAATAAGAAGAGATCGACAGAGCACCGCAAAAAAGGGCGCAAGCGCAGCTCGAAGTACTCAGGATAGGTGCTGAGGTCGAATCGGAATGCGTTTGACTGTGTTGAGCCTCAATGTGTTGTGTTTTGTTATCCTGTGTCACAACTGTATGTCGAGCAAATCAAAATGTTTGTTACGGTGATGTGATGTATAGTATTGTGCAATTGTTGTAATGGCAGACCTTTGTACATTTGTATTGCTTGAAGAATGTGATGGATTGTTGTATTCATGCACCTGTGGCTATATTCTATGTGTTGTGAGATATAATTGCAATGTACAATTGTATTCAGTGATCTATTGTGAATGTGAAGTGTCATGAGTGACGGAATAGGTTAGTCTTTGAGAGTGTGGGGACTGTTCGCGCTCGTTTGTGTGGTTTTGAATATTAGGAGATAATATTCTTAAAGTGGGGGGCAGTGTCACAAACCGAGCGCTCAAAAAAGGGCGCGCCGCCAAATTCTCGCGACGAAGCGCCGATAGGTCAACGATAAAAAAAAATAAGCATCCAAAGTCTCCCCGGGTGCGCGTCCCTCTCCCCTCGGAAGCGTGGGTTCGCCGACGAACCTCCTCTCATCGGCGCCTGAGCAAGCCCTGGAAGTTTGTAGATGTAAAGGGGCGTGGTGATGCCGGGTTGCGTCATCCGTCGCGGACGGCCTTCGAACCGCCTCGCCCTTTTCCCCAGCCTTCGCTGCGTATCGCGCCGACGAAATGATGAGAACTTTCTGGAATCTCGTGCGGAAGGTATTTAATCGAACAGCCGAGATGAGAGATCAGCAGAAGAAGGAAGTTAACGTCAGAGCGCGTAGGGTATCTCGCCGCGTCTGTCGGTGAAGGTTTTGTCCTTAGTGGCAAAGCAGGAGAAAAAGAAAGTATGCGCCAGAGTGCGTAGGGTGTACCGCCTTGTCGGCGAAGCCTTTTGTCTTTCGCTACAAAGGAGGAGAAGAAGGAAGTGGAGAAGAAGAGGATTTCCACCTGAGGGGTGAAGACTCCAGCTACAGGCAAAAGTGTGTGTCTACCGCTATCGAGCGAAGACGCGTGGCAACAGCTGCGTGTGGGAAGCCGTCGCGTTTCCGGCGAAGAAGTTTGAAACTTGGAGAGTGGCCAATTGAAGACGGGAGGTTTCCTGGAAGAGAAACTTCGGGGGCAGTCGAACGACAACAACGTTGGACTTTGAGTGAGTGATTCTCGGAAGAGTATCATTCAGAGTTTTGTTCCAAGAACTTTGGACTGAATAAGTTTTCTAACTCTTTAGTCTTTAATTGCTTGGTTGTTCGATGCATGCGACTGCATCGTAGTGTGTATTGTTGTCTGGGTCCGTTGTTTCGAGTGTGGCTGATTGTACTGTGTAGTACATTGTTTGATTGGTGACATAGTGTATTCGACTAATGTCGAGTGTGCATACTTGTGTATCGTTTTGATCTGCCATAACTGAGAATATAATTTTGTTTTGTTTATCAATTCTCGGCTCTGACTTGTTCTTTGGGGATACAGCCGGCGTCCGCTGGCGTGCCAAATAGGACCACTTCTAAATTTTCCACGCTTTCGTGGTGCGGTTCGGGGGGCCGATACTTCGGCCCTTGGAATTAGCCCGGCGATCACCTCCCTAATTAATGGGACCAGTGACAGCTGCCCACCTTTAGCCAAGCTATGATGTCATGTGATGTCGTGATGTCATGTCACGTAATGGGTCGTCATACTGACGTCATGATGACATCGCAAGTTTTGGCGATTTGTAAGGTCATGATTGCGTAGTCATGTGGTGTCATAAAGTTTCTTTTTCTTGCATCGCTCATGTTGCCGCCGCTTAAGTCGATGGTATATTTTCACGTTTTACGAGGAAGCTGTAAGGCTTTCACCTTTAGTGCGCATCCTCAAACTCCATCCGCGCAAAGCTGTGCAGCCTGGAGCTCTCATAGTAGCGCTCTTTCGAAACAAACAGGCAAGCAAAAACAGCCTTTATTTGCAAGTGCGCAAATTTGTTCGTTCTCCAGAATGATTAATAAGTCGGCTTACCGAAACCGTGATATGCAGTTATGTTAATTTAGAATATGCTTATGGTCTGTTACTTTGCCTTTCTGGTTTTCCATTTAGCGTTATTCCAACTCTGTGGTGTTTGTTATGTAGGAATACGCGAAGATCAAGGCATTGAATAAAGTGAGCCTGGAGGCACTGGATAAGCAAATAACAGTCATCCTCGGTACAGATGGTGCAGGGAAGTCGACACTACTCAAAGTTTTATCAGGTATGCACTAACAAGTCAAAGTATGGTCAGTGTTGGGGGGCATGGTAATCGTTTGGAAAGATAGCATTGCGATGGACATAATAGAAATGTGATATAATGAAAAAAAATTGTGATCCTGTTCGGCTGGACACAGAGTTCTGATAAATTTTGAAAGGGGACGCATGGTAAGTTCCTGCACACACTGAGGCTCGATGTCTCTTAAGTGACGCTAATACCAACATTAGTGCTACTATAAGGCTTTACTTATGCAACTTCAACACCATATTAAAAGTTATACCATAAAATTTATTGATCAATCTTTGTTTTGTGTGTTGATCATCCGGTCATTTCTTCAATATTCCAAACACTGTGATTTGTTGTGCAACAAACGCTCACCTCAGCCACTTGTCTCGCTTGTCAGACAGACCGGCCCTTTTACACGTCGTCGTAACTCGTTCACGCCGCAGAACTCTGACATATGCCAAAAAATATTTGTAGTCCGCAGACCCATCGTACATGCGAAGACATTCATCGCTGAACTGAGGTAGTATTTAAGCTGTTTTAGCGTACTAAGCTATCATTTCGTTTAACTCCTCGATACCGGGCGGTTTATTTCAACTGCTCGCCAACCTCCATTCATTGGACATTCGGTAGTTTTATCGACTGTTTCATAGAAACCGTGAGGAAGAGCAAATGAAGGTAATCCGGAGGCAATCTTAAATCATTGACATATGTGCACCCGTGCATGGGTGTTCGTGTGATATAGTGGGCTTCAAGGGTTAAACTTGTGTAACGCGCGCTGTCAAAGTGGATCTCAGAGGTATGTGTAGAAGGGAGCGCGTGGTTGATATATGCTCCGCCAGGTGCCACAACGATCTCATTCTGGTACTATAAAGCTGTTCTGCTCTTTCAACGAGCTCATTTAATGAATGTTCATTAAACACTAAGGCGCTTAGTTGGCTTTTATCTTAAGTACAGCTATGCTGTGATGTCATTTGTAGCCGATATACCTCGTAACATGGACTAGAATCGTGTATTTAATACCGCTTTATTCTTTAAAAAAATTTCTGATCACTCATAAACTGGATGTGTTTGTTAAAAAAACGAGAAAATCACTCGTTGCTCGCGTTGCTGAACAAATGATTTTTGAGTATGACAGGAAGCGTTCCAGTGACTTCGGGTCAGGCGACGGTGTGCGACATGGACGTGGTGCTATCGAGGCACATGATTCGCACGGTGGCCTCGTTCTGTCCCAGGCAGGCTATGTTCAGCATCGACATGACGGTCTGGGAGCACCTGCTGCTCTACGCTGTGGTAAGTATACGGATGCACTTTGTTCGAGACAGACGGAACGCGAGTTGTATCGCGTCGACACACTTTAAAAAGGAAAGGGTGTGTCACATGGCTTTACTTAAAGAAACACGGGAACTCTCTTTGTGGAGTATGCTACTCCAGTCAAAGCTCGTGGGATCTGTGTCTTTTGTCTCTTCAAAGAGAATCGTACGCGTCGCAAGTCATAAAATGCAAAAAATAAAATGACTTCAATTTCTTATGTTACAATGCAGCCCCATGATAATGCCATAACTGCGACAAATAGTCAGAATAACTTTTTTTTTATTGCGACTGCGTTCGGCATCGGAGCGGGCGTTGTTTATTGTTAGCTAAAAATTATCATGTGTGTGACCAAAAAATCTAGAAAGATGCTAATAAAAATAAATGATAAGAATACCCGGGTTTGAGTGAGGATTCGACCTAGGCCGCTTGCGTGGCAAACAGGTTTTTTTATCAAACAGCCACGCGTCAGATTGGAAGTGCTGTGAAAATAACTCCCTTTGCTTAGACTTTGCAGTGCAAGTAACGTTCATGCTTTATGAACACGCGAGTCCTATACACGGGCTTCTAAATGCAACATGTAGTATCGCAGTAATATTGCGTTGTGCAAGCGTACATTGCCGTCGGGTGTCAGAACATGTGATTACCATAACGACATCATGATTTAAAGGCGGTCACCCATTACAAAAGGCAAACACGTTACTGAGTCTATTTCCTCAAAGGGGCTCTGCAACACTTTTTGAGCATGGTCAGAAAACGCCACCGATCGGCAGTAGAGGCTCCCGATAACACGTGAGCCAAATATAGCGCAGCACGCGGCCTGGAATTTACAACAAATTCTCGGTCAGCTAAAAAATTGATTTCTCTTCTCTCGAAAAATCACGGAATAAGCCCAAAGATTACTTGTAGTAAGTCCATCTATCATACATTGGCTGATTTGAACATGACGCGCTCGCTCGTTACAGAGATCACCGTGGGAGGACGCTACTTGTCCACGCGTGCGCGCGCGATCACACTGAAAAGCCACGCATTCTAAGAAAAAAAAGAAAAAGTGCTCAAGGTCACGAGGCGTGCGTGACGTTCTTCTGTGGCCCTGCCATCCCTCCCTGCTTAGCTTCCAGCGCTTTCGCCGGGATGAGAGAAGAGAGAATGCAATTGCAGCATGCGACAAACCTTTGTAACTTCAGTCGCACAGGACAGATTCTTAAAAATTTTGCGGCATTGAATTCGTGAAACAATAAGCTCTTCCAGTGAATTCATTCCATGGTTACTTGAAAAAATGTTTCAGGGCACCTTTAACAGTGGTTGCATAGTGACCCGCCTTTTGGCACTCCACTTCATTTTCAGACAATTCACCAACTCACCCGACAAGGCATTTCATTATTTATGCACATCCAATTCTCAAAGATTTCACGCTCATGATTGCTCGTGGTTTAAAGCATGCCACCCATTACACAGAATGCAGCCACATGCAAAAGCTCCACTGACTCGCGCCACTTTCAACTTTATCGATTACTTTGTAGTAGCCCACAATTTAAACATCTCGAGCAGCATTTTAACGTGTAAGTGCGTGTTAATCAAAAGCAGTGCCGAGCATGCAAGTGTGACACCCATTACCACCGACGGAGCACCTCCCGTGAATCGTGCTTGCGCCGCTTCGCTTTAATGCGCGGCTTCGCGGGATACACCGGTGCTCCGCGTAGTGTGGTAGCGCTGAGTCGTGTTCACCTGAAAGGGCGCGGTCCTGTGCAATACTTCTAGTATTCCTAATATCCGAGTCGCGAAAACTTGCACAGCGGGACTGGTTGTTTAAAAGCGGGCTTCTCCTTGCAGTTACCCTTATTGCGGAGAAGCCATTTTCAAGCCGTAACCGACGCACTCGTTCGTATATAGACATCCCTTAGCACACTGTGAGCATACTCGTAAATTTCATGATGCTGCTACGGCGTGAATCTAGAAAGCCTGATTGTAAGGCTTTTCGGTTTAGAGAGCAAAATCATGTTCGTCTGTTCTTCTAACAGATTCATCGTGCTTCCTTAACGCGAGTAGCCTCGCGAAGTTGTGCGTGCGAAGTGGACTTTTATTTTTTGAGCATCCGGCTTCCTATTAATATTGAAGGCTGGTTACATTTACTTACATTAACCGCGGTTACATTTGGTTACATTACCGTGGAGCCGAACCACGAGATTGAAGTAACTAGAAGAATGAGAAAGGGGTGGAGCACATTTGGCAAGCACTCTCAAATTATGACAGGAAGATTGCCACTATCCCTCAAGAGGAAAGTATATAACAGCTCTCTCTTGCCAGTACTTAGCTACGGAGCAGAAACCCGGAGACTTACAAAGAGGGTTCAGCTTAAATTGAGGAAGACGCAGCGAGCAGTGGAAACAAAAATGGTAGGTGTAACCTTAAGAGACAAGAAGAGAGCAGAGTGAATTAGGGAACAAACGGGGGTTAAGGATATAGCTGAAATCAAGAAGAAGAAATGGACATGAGCCGGGCATGTAGCGCGTAGACAAGATAACCGCTGGTCGTTAAGGGTAACTAACTGGATTCCAAGAGAAGGCAAGCGGGTTAGGGGGAGACAGAAGGTTAGGTGGGCAGATGAGATTAAGAAGTTTGCGGGTATAAATTGGCAGCAGCAAGCACAGGACCGGGTTAACTGGCGGAACATGGGAGAGGCCTTTGTCCTGCAGTGGACGTAGTCAGGCTGATGATGATGATGATGACATTTACTTCCACCACGACAGAGATGACGTCATGATTATAAGTGTTGTGCAGTGTGCCTCGAATGAATTGTCGAGTCGCGTAAGATGTTATAAGAGTGGCACTTGTCCGTTTTTCAGCTCAAAGGGGTGCCGATCAGGAACATCCGAGCGAGGGCGAGGGAAGTGCTGTCCGAGACAGAGTTCAACGACAAGGTCGAGTCGTACCCACACCTTCTCTCCGCAGGCGCCCAGAAACGGCTGCAATTGGCCATCTCGCTGCTCAACAAGCCTCGGGTGAGCATGGGGAACTTATTTGGCCAGTTTACTGCGCAGACTATACTCGGCGTAGCGATTCCACATATAGCATGTGTAGCGACCTGTCTGCCGCTCTCTGCTACGAATTAAGCAACCTTGGCAATCACATCGATTGACCAGAGGTGTTTTCTTATTACAGTACCGTGAAGTTTCTGCCTTTCTTTCTTCAACATGCCTTGCGGCCGTCCCGACACACTTGAACGAACCAACCGAGAGGAAGACTAGGATTTGATGGTGCTGCTCTCTAGCCATGTCGTCGTTTCATTGCTTGCAACTGTGCTTGTGCAAACACGAAGAAAGCAAAGTATTAATACAAACGCCTTGTGGGAACTCATTAGGTGTAATCATAAGCAGATCCCGGTCAAGAAAGAACCATTCTCCGAGCCGGAATCAGGGCAAACATTTTATTGCAGTCCTAAACCATCGTAAAATGGTTACTTATCAGGGACTTCATCAGCACACTACCATCACATAAAGTTTTTTGCCTGCATCACTTGTGCGAACCCATCTTTAGGGACCCTAGATTTTCCTTGAGTGATGCAGGCATACTTTTGTGCTGTTACTTTGTTCTTCTGTGCTTGCGTCTTTAAGTTGCGAAAATTTCAAATTATTGATTGATTGTATGAATTATCGATTGATTGATTGCAATGGCCCCTCATGGGCAGGTGTTGCTTCTAGACGAGCCCACGTACTCGTTGGACGAAGAGGCGCGCCGCGAAGTGTGGACTCTGCTGGAGGCTATCCGCTCCAGCTGCGCCATCGTGATGACCAGCGCGATGACCGAGGAAGCGGACCTGATCGGCGACCGCGTGGCCATCATGTCGCACGGACGAGTACGCTGCTGCGGAACGCCCACGTTTCTCAAGAAAGCGCACGGTTGGTTATTACACGCCACACTTTGGCACTGTGTGCGCGAGTTTCGTAAAAGAAAAAAATGTGCGCCACCGTAACTGTATCTCTCGCGGAGAGCAGTTCAACGCAAGTGCGCAGGACCAATACGTTAGGGGTTACGATAATAGAGAGTTTTAGTACTGCGGAATGGTGCTACGTACGCATCACGCAAGCGCCTTGCGTTACGTGGCGTCGTTTGCCACTAATCGGCTTTTAGTACGCCGTATTACCCGCGTACGTAACGAGCGTGAAGCGGGTTGCCCCATCTGGTAGATCAAAATAGAAGCACGTGTTGTTGGCAGCCAATGTGACCCAATCCAAGTGTTATAGCCAGATTATGGCCATATTTCAAGCCACAGAGCCGGTCGGTGCTTGCCCTCGATGCCGCCATTTTGCAAAACGAAGTCTCGCGCTGTCGCGAACTTGTTCGAGAGCGGCGCGATCCCCTCATACGTACGCACGCACGCATTTCATGCGTGCGTACGTAGCGGCTGCGTACGTAACACGATACGTGCGCGTTGCGGTCTGCGCATGCGCACTACGCAGAACGTGGCGTCCTTACGTACGCAACGCCGCCACGTACGCAGCGTACGCAGTACTAAAACTCTCGAATAAGACAGTATAAAGGGAGCACCCACGTGCGACGACACGTCGGTCTATAGACTGTATTTTGTAAAAGAGATTTGGGCGCCACAATCTTGGACGGTCAAGTCGATGTTTTTGTTTTGTTTTTGTATATCATGACGTGAATTAATAAGGCCATGAAACATCGTACGCATCAACCCAATCGTTTTCATGCGTATGCGTCTACCGTAACACTGTTTGTTTAGTTGTTAAAGTTACAAAAGACAAAGGTTAACAGCCCAGGATAGTGGCAATCAAACCTGCCCGTAAAATACTCTGTATAAGCCCGTTTTGACTTGAGCGAGAAATTCGCAAATGCATTTGCACAAATGCGGGCTATATTTATTCTTACAATATCTCCAGCGTCTTGCTATAGAAACATCCTTAAAGTCAGAGCTTAAGTGAATGACCTTGATCGGCTTGAGTGGTAACATTCGTTTTTTACATATTGTGCACAATTTAAAGTGTAGTAGTGAACTTTTATTTTTGTAGTATTCCACGGCCTTCGGAATACTGATGCCGAGACTGCACGCGCACATTGCCACATACATACCACGTGGCATCATTATTGAAACCAAGAACGTCTCGTTGGGCTTGTAGCTATTACTTGCCAAGTCAAGGCTGCTGAAATGGGGGGGGGGGGGGGGGTGTTCACGCTCAGTTGACCACGAAAGATATAGTATCCAGTCAATTTTGACTATTTGTGGTTCGCACTGGAAAGCGCTCTTGTTGAAGCACGTGTTTTCTTGAAGTCTCTTTGGCCTTTTTATTTTATGTGTTTTTTGTATTTGCTTAATTAAGTGATCCTATCTTCTTTTCTGTAACATATATATGTGCGTATTAGTGGTAATAAATCAGTTGAAAGTCCGCGCTCGTTCTCGTTCTTGTGTTTGATGTCTGAAATTTTTGCGCTGAGAACTTTATATTGAAGTTAATTGATTGATTGATTGGCAGGAACCGGCTATGAGATACGCTTCCCAAAGACCAAGAACGTCTTGGACGCCCAGGACAAGCTTTTGGAGATAGTCCAGCAGCGCACGGCGCGAGCACGGCTGTCGCAGACACCCCGCAATGTGATCATCTCGCTGGGCACCCGAGATACGCGTGGCTTCGCCGACATGTTCAAGCGCATCGAAGAGTTCTGCCAGGACCACGACATCGATGACATCGGCGTCACCTTCACCACGCTCGAGGACGTCTTCATTAAGTACGTGCATCACTGAGCCTCTGTTTTCTGAAAAAAAAAGAAAAAAATGGCTCTGCTCACTTCAATAAAACTCTCGATGGAGAGCTGAAAGAAATGATAGGAACAGGTAACCTGTACAGGCATAAAGTGGAATCGGCTTAAACGGGACAGAGTGAATGAGTATACTTATATGCAATGTACGTAATTAGTCTTAAGATGATAATAGCTTAGTATCGAAGATTGGGCGCGTATAGGTTATACATTGGAGGGAGCACAGCGTAAACGATTCTGTGCGTCGCCTTTCCTAGTCCCCGTTTTTTTTGTGTGTGTGTGTTCTCTTTAATGCTAATACACTGCGTCATTCTACAAAATAGTGTCGCGAAAGTCCTAAAGTTCAGTAGCTCTAATAGAAAAGATATGCTAGTTATGTGAATGGTTCTTGAATGCAGGCAGTTTGTGTGATGAAAGTTTTCGGAGTCGAATAAATTGACGAATGCGTAATTGTGAAGTTAAGCCATTGACGGTGGAAGTTGGCGCGCAGACACAAGAGAAAAGATCAGAACAGTACCGGCGTGTGTGTGGCTCTTCTTCCTTATCGCGACTCCGCACAAACTAGCTTGACTTTTTCTCGTTTTAACTTATTGAATCCCGCGATTATATTGCGTGCATTTGACGGACTCTTCAGAACGGTCGCATTCGAGGGCAACTCCGTTTCATCGCACATTTCTAAACAGTCATTGTTTTTCGATGCGTACATTCGGTGCTAAATCACGTCACTTGAGAGGCGCGCCTGACATTATCCGCAACTGGCGTACTTTTGTTCGGAGAGACCACGGAAAGGAGACTACGTGACGTGCAGCTGCCTTAGTGGTTTGTTGCAAACTGTGGCACACATTTCTTGTTGCCTTTCAGGATGTCCACCGAGCCGGACAACGTAGATCTGAACATTGACACCGATATTGAAAGTAAGCAGTTCGTGCCATTCGATTAAGCATTTGCTATATAATTGGCTATCCTTTTTTCATCTCCGACTCGAAGTGAGAGCTTTGCATAAATGGCGAAAGGATGCATGCATAACTCGAAAGATGACTGCGAAAAATACTCCTATGCTCCGATTCGTATGGATCGCGTCATTGGATTTTAAAGCTTTCATCCGCTATAACTATGGCTCCGGGTATATTTTCACTCAATATAGTGATTAACTCGAGCGCCCCGAAGGCTCACCAAGAAGTCAATTTTTACTTGTTCTCACTTTCTGCCTGGCTTAGGGATGAGTATTTATATTCTGTACTGTTCGCTCGACAGTCAAGTTACATTGATTGGTCCTAATTGTGTAGAAGCTTGTAGGTTGAAGGTTTCCCAGGCAAAGACTGCGCGAGGAGCATTGAAACTAAAGAAGGAAATCAAGAATGAATGAATGAATGAATGAATGAATGAATGAATGAATGAATGAATGAATGAATGAATGAATGAATGAATGAAGGAATGAATGAATCTATTTTGAGCAAACCGCCATGGTTCCGCCTTTCGTAGACGCTAGGAGTAATCTGTTGATAACTATAGATCACGACTTAGCTTAAACTGACAACACACATGTGTGTAGTCATAATACGACTCATGAGTTACAATGCATTTTATAAGAGGGCTACGAATCGGTCATTGCAGTTCCTACGATGAAGGAGACTGCGTGGACGAATGTGGTATAGTGACAAGTGTCATCCATTCGCTGTGAACCGCAGCGGTTGTGTGCGTGTGCTTCGTTGTCAATACTTACTTATCACACGCTGTTTTATCTATTTCCTTATTTATCTGGCACCTCCTTCCAGTGTAGGGTAGCATATCTACCATGTAACTGCGCAAAAACAAACGGGAACACGAAAGGAGAGAAAAGCACAAATAGTTTGTATTTGTGTTTTTCTCTCCTTTCGTGTTCCCGTTCGTTTTTCGCGCAGTTGCATTATGGATCATTACCGACTCGCCCAACTTATTATTCTTCTGCAGGGTAGCAAACCGTACGATGTGGTTAACATTCCGGCCCATTTTAACTCCGGAGCTGTTTCGTGTCAAGGCTGCCTCATTCGGCGTTACGCTAGTCACATGACCAAAGATGGAAGTGAATAAAATTTCAATAGAACGAAATAACACGCTCGAAATTATGATTACGATGATGTGAAATGAAGATGCCGATGCTCGAGATGATGATGCCGATGATGATGATGATTGAAATTATGATAATCATGACGATGGCCGAGATGATGATGCTAAAAGGGTATGAAGATGGTGCTTGAAATTAGACTAGGATGTTTTATATTGGTGTCAGACGGGCACTTTTCATCGCGATTGGGGCCAACCCGAATCGCACTCTTTGATCGCGATGGCAGGCTGATCGCTGCCACACGCTATACACAGCCTGATCCGGATCTAGTTTGGCGCAGACGTCAGCCATATCACTATTGCGGAGTCAGATCGTGATGCAGATGTCGCAATCGGGTGGATTTCAATCGGGTCTGATCACGACTAAAAGCGACCGCGAAGCAGCGACTGATGTGGTTCGAGAGTTGTCCGGGGTCGGCACTGATCGCAATAAAAAAGCCCCGTCGGCATTTGTCTATAGCACCACACATTCGCACGCTTACAACTTCGCTATCGCACAAATTCCCCAGTGTGGAACTGGCTGAATTTTCAGGGTAAGGTCGGGGCTTGTCCGTTGGTGGCGTTGGCGTGCGCCATGGCCCTGATGAAGATGATAACAAAGATAATGACGGTGATGATCACAAACAACTGGCTTGCGGAGTATGTGATGTCTCGATAGGCTCCACGATACATTTAGTGTGACTAAAGAAGAAATTAACACGCACCAGGGAAACGTGGACAGACCTCGTCTTTGTCAACTTCAGGCTAAATTCGATGCCACAAAGCAGTAATAATAAAGGCAAAACGAAATCCGCATTCCGCAACTGAGTACAACATACCATTTATGACAATAAAACTTGGTTGTAATTGCACACCGCTTTGTCACGCATTTACCTACATGCGTGAGTCGTCAATGTAATAAGTGATTTGCGGTAACACCGACCAATCCCACTGTTTCGCCCACTCATCGCTCACTGTGTGGATAAGCCGTGATTTTGTTTCTTTCAATCTATTTCCTCTCATAATCTGGTTAACTGATAACAAGTGCCTACTTGTTTCGCAGTGAGTCACACGCAGGCGTTCTGCGACGAGCCGCTTCAGAGTCCTTCTTTCTGCGGCCAGATGGCGGCGCTGCTGTTGAAGCGGCGCGCCATGCTCGCCGTCGACCGCGCCGCTCCCTTCGCGGTGTACGTCCTGTTCGTCGTTATGACGTTCGTCATGGAGTACCTGCAGTCCGGACCGGGCTGGCTGGTCGACCTCTTCCCGGAACTGGTGTCGCCGCCGCGTGACACCTCTTTTCTGCGACAATCGACGAACGCGGGTGCGTTATACGCATGCGATCGAGCTTCTTTAGATACGTCAGATCTCAAGGACAAAACAACAAAACTTAATATTGTTCGTCCAGTTCCATTACTCCAATTTTAAAAACTAGCATCAGCAGCAAAGTTACACAAACGTTCTTAATATTTTGTCCCGCCACGGTGGTCTAGCGCACTCTTAGAAAAAAGGTGGTAGTACTTGCTAACTTTGAGGTAGTAATGGTGTGTCACATTTGTTACAACCCTGCAGGGTTCTAACACCGTTCCTAACGTTTAACGCCGTTACTAACTGCACTTACTACCCTCGCCGTTACTAACTGCGCTTACTACCATGGTAGTAAGCGCAGTTAGCAACGGCGAGGGTGGTAACAGTTACTACCTCTGCTGTTACTACCAGCAGTTAGTAACTGTTACTACCCAAGCCGTTAGCACCCATGGGTAGTAACTTTCAAAGGTTTCAAGAAAAAAATAGTGACCGTTACTACCTTGTTTATTTATTTTGCATAATATTTCTTCACTGATAATGTTCGCCAATCAATGTCTCATCACTAGGAAACTTCAGGCAATGAGGCGTGGTGTGTCATGAACGCGAAGATTGCAACAAGTTCACTATTTTTTACGCATACACGTAGTATGAAGTACGCATGGGGTAAATATAGCCCCTACTTTGCAGGGGCATGTCTGGCACAAGGGAGCACTTGTGTTTCAGGATGAATTAAAATAATTCTGAGCCTATAGCACTATATTATACAACCTGGTTACGTAAGTTTAGGGACGTAGCGCAAGACTTTTAATCAGTCTTACTTACAAGAAATTGTATGTCATATTTATTCATTATAAAAGGGTCACAAAAACATTATGGACAGTGGCCGAAGCAAGGTTTTCAACTATTTCTCAGTGCATTTGAACGCTTCACACGGCTAATATATCAGCGTTTACAAGGTAATATTCGTTTTTGGGGTTCGACGTGCCAAAACAATGATAATGTTTAGAGACACGCTGTAATGAATTGATTGTGACCGTTTTCGGGGTACATTGCGGCCGTCTGGTTAATTTGATCAGCCGGTTGTTAATATGTGCTGTAATTTATCAAGTTTGTTGTAATTGTCTATTGCAACGCGTGTACACTTACTTGGCTATGGTTCGTTAACTTGTACTTCTCCATTTCAACAATATCAGAATAACGTTTACGTATCTCAGTTGCATAATTTAAATCAAAATATATTTTCTTGATCTGTAGATATCATCTGCGCCATTTTTTCGCTTAATGATAATACGTCGACACGATTCCTCTCATAAATAATCAGAATCGGAATCACACACTATACTGGATTAAATAGTCAACAGCCGAGTAGCAAAAAGGTAGTAACGGAGCAAGAAAGGTAGTAACGGCTGCAGTTACTACCTCCTTCATTGCATTTACTAACTGTTTACTAGCGTAGGTAGTAAACAGGTCGCAAAAAGTTAGTAACGGTAGCAGCTAGTAACGGGTTACTAACGTAGGTAGTAAACAGGTAGCAAAAGTGTAGTAACGGTCAAAGTAAGGTAGTAACCAATGCAGTTACTACCTATTTGCTTGCAGTTGCTACCTTTTTACTAACTTTTTTTAAGAGTGTGGCTAAGGTACTCGGCTGCTGACTCGCAAGTAGCGGGATCGTATCCCGGCTGTGGCAGCTGCATTTCCTATGGAGGCGGAAATGTTGTAGGCCCGTGTACTCAGATTTGGGTGGACTTTAAATAACCCCAGGTGGTCGAAACTTCCGGAGCCCTCCGCTACGGCGTCTTTCATAATCATATGGAGGTTTTGGGACGATAAACCTCACAAATCAATCAATCGTTCTTAATATTTAAAATTATTGGGGTTTAACGTTCCGAAAACCACCATGTGGTTGTGAGAGACGCCGCGGTGAAGAGGTCCGAAAATTTCGACCACCTGGGGTTATTTAACACACTTAAAACACTTAAATCACCTAAAGCACTTAAATCTAAGTACATGGGCTTCAAGCGTTTTCACCTCCATCCAAAGTGCTCCTGCCACGGCCGAGATTCGATCCCGTGACCTGTGGGTCAGCAGTGAAGGACCATAAATACTAGACCACCGTGGTGGGTTACACAACCCGCCAATATAGCTAATAATGCAAGAATAGCCATAGCTATAGTACTGCGTTACTAGCTATATCCGTATTACTGAGTTCGGCGGCACTAGGTTGCGCGATTACCCTGGCTTCTCTGATACACTGAAACAGCCAAATACCCGGCAACCTGTAAACGTGAAGTTTACTAATACGAATAGAAAATAAAGCTCTCTAATATTTTTGTGACATGATAATTAGCATATTAGTACGTGTATTAGTGTATCGTCACTGTCGTTCTATTGAGAGTACTTGTACAGTAAGTGTTGACTGTCTGGGCACAAGTGCACCCGATGAACAGTTCCAGCTTGATCGCTCTCAGTGCTGCTTCTTCCCCGTCCAACCGCATGACAACGCGAAGCTAAATGTCCTATGGTGCACAAGCAAGGAAGCTCTCTTTCGCTGTCGTATTATCTGATTTCTGGTGATAACGAGGTTGTATTAAGCGTAGAGGGCATTATGTTGGCCGAACACGAAATGTTGCGCGAGAAATAAACAAAAAAAAAACGCATTATATACAAAAAATAGGCTATGTAAAAATTGATTAACGAGCCTCAAGTAGAAGTTTATTGTTTTTAAATGTAACACAACCGAAAAAAGTATACAGAAGAAGCTACATCCCAGAGTTAAGAAACTGTAACGGGATCCCTTGTTATTAGTTACAGAAAAAAAAACTGATTATTCCTTTTAATACTAAAGAAGGAAAACATTTTGTTGCATAACACGAACTAGAAAAAAATACACTGGAAGTTAGAATTTGCAGAGAAATTATGAAAAAGACTAATAAAAAGTTAACGGGAAAATGAAGAATTGGTAGAGTTTACAAAGAAACCACATGAGCTCTTGATCGTAGGTGTGATGACTGAGTAGGTGAAGAGTTTTAAATAAACTAATACATCATGCCGGCGTGCAAAACCAACTGCTAGTCTTCCGTAGTTGCTTCGTGGTTTCGTAAGAAAAAAATTCCGCCATATCCACGAAGTGAATGATGATGAGTGGGCGAAGCTCCGGAGGTAAACCTGGTAAACCATGAATCCTCTGTACATTTTGCCCACTCAATTTTATTACATCGCTCCCCCTAGCGTACGTCGCCGCACTAAATCGAACGATTGCCTTCAACCAATGACACGCGCCATATGTGACATCATTCCTATTTTATAAGATCTCGCGTCTTTCATCAACTACAAGTACCGCTTTCTAGTTTATAACATCTTGCATCTTTTCATCATCAGCTACAAGTACCACCATCTAGTAAACACTACAAGAACTAAACGAGAGGTGGCTACATACAGGAGACGGTACCGCCATCTAGTGAACACTGCAAGAACTAAACTAGAGGTGGCTACATACAGGCTACAGGGGACGCACAGCCCACGCCCTAAGGAGCTTCGCCCCTAAAATGTTATTTCGTGAAGAGAATCTGGGATTATTCGGATTAGCAAGACTGTTTCGACCAGTGACATATGTGATTTCTTAGCCATGTGATAAACGATGATGCCGTAATTGTAGGGGATACTCTCGTTTATTCCGACCAGATTTGACTTGGTACACTGTATGTGAGTGATTAATGTGTGTCGTCGCTTTCTCAATGGTCGAAACGCTCGTCATCGTAAAGAACGGGACTCGTGTGACGCAGATAGCGGCGTCGACATCGACATCGGCGACATGTACCCGAGGACGGTGTCGTTCCTGCGGGGGTCGACGGAGCTGAGCACCCACTTCTACTTGCCGCTCGTCCGCGGCGTCACCGTCGTTCAGCCCATCGAAACAGCGCCCGCGGAAGAGCTGGATCGCTTGAGTCGCAAAGATTTCTTCAGCTACTCCCAGAAGTGCGTCTTCGGAGCCGACTTCAGCGATCCCAGCAGGCATGGCACCTCATTATGCCGGGCGTTTCTGCGACCACATTGAATGGGCACTAAAGGGAAACTGATTATTACAGCAAAAAGCCAAAAACGCAACGTTCAAACACGAAATGTGACCACAGGCGTCGGTGTCAACAAGAGTGATGCAAACAGTAATTTTGACGGCGTCAGACATCACAGATCGCCGAGATGACAGATGTTGTGGCGTCTTCGGGGCGCCTCCAACGTCACATAATGTCTGACGTCAAAAAAAAGTTTCAGGGGTGGGAGGAGTAATACGATTGGATGAGATGAAAAAGAAAAAAAATATGATGGTTTTAGCTCTCGAGTCACCTTAGGCTAATCGTAGGGCACCCTCTGAGATTTTGATTTCTATATATGCACACCATCAGGTATATACTTCCCACTCACGAGCTACGCGCGACTGTCGGCGGGATGCAGAACTGCTGACAGGAAAGTATATACCGAGCCTGAGCATAGTTTGTGAGAAAGGATGCGCAAGCATGTCATATTACGATTATTGTGCGGTAGAAATCCATCCCATACTTCCTTTTGCGTTGAAGTGTACTGTCGTAAATTTCGCTAGGTGCAAAGAGCACCTTGATGTACCTCGCTATTGGCGTAAGTAAGACACAAGCAGGCACTATACACTGCACCTAATATTCGATGAAAGGACTCATTGAGCCGCGATTGCGTATCCACGAAAACCTTATGGCGCCGGAAAACGAGTACATGACAGGTTTCGATGCATGTTGCGTGCATTGCAGCCCGCAGGTGTGGTGGAACCCTTACGTGCCGTACAGCAGGAGCATCGCCACGACGCTCATGAACAGCGCTCTGCTCCGTTACTTCAGCGGGGACGCGGGCGCAGTGTTCCGATTGCGTGTGCGGGCCTTCAGCAGGGTAAGCTATACGTCCCAGCGAACGTCTATCTACTCGAAGAGGAAAGACATTAGGCTATACTGAATGACGGTCAATTCCCGGAATGATGTCACAGTTAAAGGGGTCATGAATCGCTTTTTAAGAATAATCACAGAATGACTTCATTGTCGAAGTTCGTTGCCCCACATGTAAATAGCCCCAAAGGTTTTCGAAATTCCTGAAGAATGAGCGGTGAGAAGAACTGTGTCTGATTTAAACGCCGCTCTTGCTTCTTTACACCTAACATATTTTATTGTGTTTAAAGTGTAAACTTCTTCAGTGAAGTACACTGCACATTGAACAAGATATGCAACTCATCGATAGACCTAATGGCAACCACATAATACACTTGGGGCTGAAGGGGATATTAGTTCCGGCTGTCCGTTGCATGAATCTGTCCGGCTTTCAGACTTCTGCGAAGATAAGTCTGTCTGCCTCTGTGTACTTAAATAAGTAATTTTTCAACGCACTTGTGTACAGTGAAAAAGAAAAAAAAACCGCGATATCCTCAAAGTGAACGATGCTAGAGGAGCTTAATTGCTCGTAGGTGCACGGGGCGTTTTTTGGCGAGAGCATTGCTGTAGAAGGCTTGTTAACGAGCCGGTGCATGATGTGTTCGTCGAAGGCAGCGTTGTCGGGCACGTTCCGCGGCCGCCACTGCACATTGTCGACACTGTCGATCGGCACGTTAACCATCTGCCCCTTATGCCATACTGGCCACTGCCATGAGTCAAATGCCTAACGCTCGTAAATGGCATTCCTGGATCTATCAGGCGTTCTTCAACGGGGTTGAGAGCAGGCAGGTGAAATGACTTGGAAGGATATCTGTACCCGTGCGTAACACTCCATCAAAGGAACATCGTAGGAACCGTGCTTACGAAGCGGCGACAACGAAGTGGACGTAGTCGCGAGGAGTCGAGTGCGGGGACCTTCGAAAACCGACGCTTTCAATGGCGGCGCGAGAACAGGCCGTTTTCAACAGATAAACAAAACAGATCATCTTTATTGTAGTTCAACTGATCTTAATGGGGGGGGGCTTAGTCAAGGGCCCAATTGGCCTTAGCCGCCAGTTCAACCAGGGTGCGATCAGCGCTTGCTAGTCGATCAAGGAGTTGAACACGATTGCGATGTCGGCAAACATACAAAAAAATCTCCTTTACAGTCGCTTGCCTACCCTCGCGTCTCGATGAAGTGCCTGGATGCGCAGTGCCGTAGAAGAAACAGCCAAAGTGCAAGCGCCCTCCGGCTTCTATCTTTATGCATCTACATGTAATCTTAAGAGACGGCCAACGCTGCTTTTTTCACTCACAACGACGCTCACAACCAAAGACGACGACTAAAAAGCCGACACCAGAATTTCTCCGAAGCAAGCTCTTAACGAAGTCGCAGCAGTGAGGCAAGGAATATACCACATGACACTTTTCTTTCGTGCGCCTTACTTTCAGTGGAAACCGGTACTGAAGACCTCGCCCACTTGCCCTGAAACCGTGTATCTTCATTATTGTTCTCACTGCTATACTGACCCTCAGAGAGCGACGGGTGAACCGGAGGTGGAGAGCGGGGCTCACACGGTGGTTCGCGACACCTCGGGATTCGTGGAGCGCGGACTGCGTTCGTTCAGCCCCTGGCGCAAGGTGCTCCTCCCGCCCATCGTGGGTCTGGCCGGCGCCGCGTTCGTGGTGGCACCCGTGGCCGAGACGGCGTCGGGCTCCAAGCGGCTGCAGCTCATGACGGGTGTGCCGGGCTTCGTGTACTGGCTCAGCCACTACCTGTTCGACGGCTGCCTCTACGCGATCCTCTGGGTCTCGGCCGCTTTCCTCTTCGTCATGAACAACAAAGTGCGCGCCGACACTGCTTGTACGCACGACTGACGCGCTTGGCCAACCGTCAAGCTGAATGTAGTGCAGAATAAGGGACAAGCACTGAATGGCAGCACAAACGCAGCGCTGACTCTTAAAGGGGCATCTAACCCCCGTATTCACATACGCTCCTCGACTCGACTTTCACCCTTCACTTGACAAAGTTGAGCACTGCGCTACCGCTCGGCTGAAAATGACGCTGCGCTACTCTAGAATCGCAGCAGAGTATCGCTGATATGCAGTGACTTGCCATGCCTAAAGACGGCGCTCCCATAGGCTTTCTCAAGTGAAGGTGGAACGTTGAGTGAAGGGACGTTCTAGAATACGGGGGTAAATCATCCTCGAAAATAAGAAGAATGAGCACGTTATTCTCTCCCGGCGTTTCCTATCCTTAGGGCACTATTTGTGACGCAGCTGTTGGTTGGCGTGACGTTAGGATGATATAGGCTCTCGATTGGCCGATATGCGAGAGTGAGTTGTCTTGTGAGTTGTCGCCTTCCCTGCTCTGTCACGCAATCGCATGCCCGGCCTGCCTCGCTTCGCATTACTGCCGTGTGCGACAAACTGATTTCATTTCGTTTTCTGTGTTTGCGACTGCGCAGGCGGAGATACCAAAGTGTAGTCGAAAAGTGCGAAATATTTGCTGGCTCACTTTCCACGCGTTTCCTAGAAAAATAAGGGGCTAGAAGGAGGCAAGGAGGTTATACTAAATCTTCTGGAGTGGCGGTCCCGCATACCCGCCCATGTCTCGAAGTGAAGCCGCAGCGGCCATATTGCTCAGGGCAGAAGCAGGCGGCGCCTGCCTTGAAGCGCCGTGATTCTTGCCATGCGTTTCGTTATTGCTACAAAAGCACCTGTTTAATATTTTTATATAGTAGGCGAAGGAACACGGAAAGGACTTTAATGCACATCTGCTTTAATTTTTCTTGGACACTTGGCGTTTCAAGCGTGTAAAAAAAAAAAGAACATGCCAGACCTGCAAGGAACGCGCAGCACAGTCACAGCGAAAGCTGGGGAGTGGTCTTTCAGAGCCTTCTCTAAAAACTCTTTGGGATGCTACAAGGGCACTGCTGGGTATCCACAGTGCCTTAAATAATCATAAATTTTCTGTAGTAGGCCAGCATTCACTATGCTATCCTTCGCCATTCTTTGGAGAATCGTGCGCGGTATTCGCTACACACTTGTTTGAAGTTTAGTGCATCTTTTTATGCAGTGGCTGATGACGATGAAGAAATATGCGTGAAGGGGTTATGCACCACAGTTAATAGGTGATCAAGAACAAGTTATTTAATGAATGGGAGCGTTGGGCGACCAAGTCGTCACGAAATTCGCATTGTGTGACGCCTCGCTGTTCCTTGATGGTCTAAAACACTTTATTACTCATATTAATGCGACTCGTTTCCAGACATCAAGCCTGCCTAAAACCAGTTTAGAAACAATTTCCAGCGCTGGCGCGCCTCAGTGGTAGAATGCTGGGTTGGCACGCAGCGGACCCGGGTTGGACTCTCATTGTGTCATTGATATTCTTAACTTACCGAGTTTTTTTTTGTTCGATACTAATTACGAGTGGCGGCGGCGGCGGACACGGCTCTACGCATGACCCATGTTCTGATCTCGTAACACCTTTCACTATAAAAAGAAAAAAAAACTTACTCAAGGATATGACACACACACACACACACACACACACACACACACACACACACACACACACACACACACACACACACACACACACACACACACACACACACACACACACACACACACACACACACACATATATATATATATATATATATCCTACAAAAACATAGAGCCTGCAAAAAATTATTCTTAGCGTCATTGTGCCCCCGGACGCCAAAAGAAAATCTATGAATGCAGTCGCATAGTCGCTAAAATATGGGAGAATAAGCGAATGAGCGAAGCATGCCTACTTAAACATCGAAAGCTGAGCCCAGTATCCGCTTCACACGATTCGCACAGCCAAATACTACCCAAGAGCCCAACATCGTCGCCTCAAAATGTGATCACAGACGTGTTCAGAAGCGTCTTGTTCAATTAGAAGCATGATACGCAACATTACTAGCACTAAATCAACACGAAAGCCACGCACGCTAAACTGCGCCCATCCGTTTTCTGCCCTGATCAATATGGCGGTGTCGGCTTCAGCCGCGGAGCCTCTCCGCCACTCCAGAATCTTTAATATAACCTCCTTGGAAGGAGGTGGCGCTTTTAAGAAGGGTAGTGAGGGCGAGAAGTAGACTACTGTCTCGTCTTTAAACCCGGTGTGCTTTAGAAGACCTTTACCAGTTGCGCTATTGTGCAAAGAACGATCTCAATTTTGAATGTTCTGTCCTCGATTTTGATTGATATGCGGGGTTTATCGTCCAAAAACCATCATATGACTATGAAAGGCGCCGTAATGGAGGGCTGCGAAAATTTCGACCACATGAGGTTCTTTAACGTGCACCTAATTCTAAGCACACGGGTCTACAGCATTTTTCGCCTCCATCGAAAATGGAGCCACCGCTGCCGGGATTTGATCCCGCGACCGTACTGTCCTCGATCGCATTCAACACGCGACAAGCGATTTGTCATTTGTCATTTGTCATTGACGTGGTTGAAAACCACACGCTCTTCTACGCATGCTTCTATAAGACAGCGCTCTAGGTGTGGGTATGTACAACCGCGGCCACGTCTGTTTTGAGCGCGCGAGCAGCTGGTTTTTGTAGGGAGCCTACATGAACGGCCGTTTTTAGGGTGGAGACATCTTAATAAGTGCCCTCAAGAAACTCAGCCAAAACCAGCGGGCAACGGGGCACGCTGTTGCCAGCTTCCACCAAATTCAGCATAGTTTTCTGTGCGCCGCCATTTTGGAGCCAGCCGCCGCTCCCTCCAGCTACGCGAAGTACGGCGCAACAAAAAGGAGCCGACCAAGTGACAGCGGCGGTTCTCAGGGTCGTGTAAGCGACCCAGATCTCAAAGTGAGCGCACGAAAAATTCGCAGCCCACACACAAACACTTGCGACATAATACTGAGGTTACGCTGATACGAACGCAAGCGTGGCAACACCTCAGACTAGCGAGCGCGTCTCCGTACGAACGCGCGGACGCGTCCCGTTTGTGGGCTTCCTACTCGCAATGCGTGGACGCAGCAACGACAACTTCGGTTATCTACTCATTCGCGAACACCGCGAAACACATATACGTGTGCCGCAGGAAAAAACAGTGAACGAAATACGCTGTACTCACAGAGCAAATACGAGACGCACTGGTGGGTGCCCAACCGTCTCGCTTCACTTGAGCCAGCCATAGTTGTCGTCGGCCAGGGCTCGCTGGGAAGCGGAACATTCGCACCCCCTTTCTGTTGTGGTTAGTGCAGAGCGGTACGCAGCATCCAGGCATTCTAAGGCTTCACCGGCAGCGTTTAACACGCTACCGCAACGTTCAACGCCGCATTATTGAGAACTAAACGCAACCGGGCGTAGACGCAGTGCGGAGTGGTTCTTAAGAGAAAGGAAGAGAAAAGTGAGCCCCGTTATTGTCTGCTTCAGTGAGCGACACCGCCACAGAGCTCACAAAGGGAAGGGGGTAAGGAGGGATAAAAGGGTAGAGGTAAAGGTATAGGAAAGAGGAAGAAGAAGCAACAACAAACTGAGGGGATAGGAGAGACAGGAAAGATGGAAGAACGGTCACTGGAGTCCGAGGACGGGGTACACTTGCGAGAGATGTTGTCGGCGTCTGTAGATGGCGTAGAGCAGGTCCAGTAGGTCAGAGCTGCGCTGTCACCGAAGACAGCCGGCGACAGGAGGTGACGTAGGGCCAGCCCAGTCGGCCAGAGCTACGATGACGCCGAAGGTCGCGAGCGCGCGGAGCGCGCGGGCGCACAACCGGTCGGCACGAAATCCAGGGAGCGTCTCGTAGACGCAGTGCGGGCACCAAGATGGGGCGACAGCGTGGTGTTGCTGTCTGGCAACATTGTGTTTTGGCGGGCGGCGGCATGTAGTGGGTCAAAGGCTGACATCACCCTAAAAACGGCCGTTCATGTAGGCTCCCTAGTTTTTGCTCTGCGGAGAGACATCTTGAGGCAGTTTCGGGCTCCGATGTAGCCAGCGTGACTACTAGGCTGCGCATGCTGCTGACACACCCACGTTAAATTCCGAAACTGCCTCAAGCTGTCGCTCCGCAGAGCAAACACCGGCTGCTCGCGCGCTCTACACAGACATGGCCGCGGCTGTACTTCGTCAGTCGTTGCGCTCTTTTTACATCATGTCCTATACCAACATGCCAAATAACCATGGCGCACTTTTTTTCGTTTTTTTCACGCAGTTGCTTAACACCGATCTGACTTGTTGGCAATCGGCTCGCAATTTTTCTATTTCTTTTTTCTTTATTGATTCACACCTTCGTATGTTTTCATTTGTATACATTTTGCGTTTCAGTGGCCCTCTTCCTGCTGGTGCTGTTGGGCTTCCCGACGCTAACGGGCGTGTCCTACCTGACATCTTTCTTTGCCAAGTCGGTCGGGATCTGGTACATACTGCTGTTCTGCGTGTACATGGCTTTTGGTGAGTCAGACCTGTATATAGGCCTAACTGTTATTTGTTTATATAGATTTTTCTATTTGCTCTGGCACCCGCTTGTATAGCAGTAACTCCGGTTATCACTTGTCGGTGCGCCCAGGACCGACAGGTGATGGGCTGCGCGGTTAGTTGCGTACGTGATAGCCGATGGCGAGCAGCGGAAAATATAAATAGGTGGAGCTGCAGATACGTAAATACCCAGCAAGTATTGGTTAAACTATAAATTGAACTCCTACTTGATTTGCGGTGCCCGTACGTGCCCGTCCATGAAAGAAAAAAAAATTATCAGTGATCTCCTCGGAGAAAAAGGGATGACGCCATGTGATGACGTTGCCAGGTGACAAGAATGAAATCCTCAGTTGACTATAAAATATATGACATCGTCTGTCACGTCACGTGACTATAGCATGACGTCCGTCAATGGATGTCCATCGTCGATCGGTCAAAAGCGGGCCGATACCGGAGGCATGCAACCGGTGTAACCGACGAGCCCGGTCTCGGAGGCTGTGCAGAAAACTTGGGTGCGGCGGTACGATTTTCGCTCGTGTTTCACCGCGGTCGTGCGTGGAAAGTATGACTCCACCAGCCATTCTGAGAATGCCAAGAGAGCAGCGTGCTTTCGAAGCACGCTGCTTCCTTGGCTACACTCTTAATCAGGTCCGGCTTAAAGTGCTAGATGCATCGAGGTACCAAAAATTGTTTGTCTGGTTTCCTAGATATAGCCGTCCTTTAACCAGTACCTGATTAAGAGTGTACAAGAGCAGAGTCACCCGTGCCCTCTGTGGGTTATCCACTTTCACGGAGTGGAACGGCTCCAACTTATCGCCTAACTCGTATACCTCACGGCCAAACATGGCCGCCCTCTGTAAAAGCGACGAAGATCCTTGTCTATGTGCGCAAAGTTGACATCAAACACTCGCGCACGTTCCAAACAGCGAGGGATGAAGCCTGACTAACAGCCCGTTCGCGGGCCTCGGAAGAAAAAAAAACTAAGAAAAGAAAGACTGCGACATGATGATGTAACCGTCGTTAATTCAACGTTGTGAGTTAAATGAGAGTGACCAATGTGGTTTCATAAATACAATATCATCAATCAATGTAAATTTAATTTAGGCGCCGCTGTCCCTCTGCGCCTTGGCCACCAAATACGACTGCCATTTTCGTATGGCTTGCGGCACCTATCTGCTCATCTTCAGCAATACTATCAGCCTTACCTGGACCCACGTTTATACTCACACCTACTCACAGTTATTCCAAAGCAGTATTGTTTTTACAGTTCAATGTGTTGTTCATGCATTTCAATATTTATTGATCAAAGGCACAAATTACATAGCGGGGTCCCTTGACCTCCCCGTTCTCCTTAGCTCTTCCACATAAGTTCCTGAAAAATATATATTATGTTGTCATCTCTTTCGAGGAAAATTGCCCTACTGGATCGAACACTTATAACTCGTATTCGAATGTACTATATCAAAAGGCGCTAGGAAGAGCACCGATTACGTGAAATATTGCTATTGAAGAGCATTGACACCATAGCCAAAAAAGACAATCCTAGGCTAACGAACCAATGAGTCGTGGAGCTCGCGATATCGTTTTAGTCTATAGCCTGTCCGTGCTCGATCCCCGTTTGCCCCGACAGCTTTTCAGGCGAGCACGCTGAGCATCAACTACGCGGTACTCCACTGGCTGTTCACGCTGCTTCCGCCGTACGCCTTCTCGTCGGGCGTGGTCAAACTGCTGCTCCTGGACGCGGACAACCACCTGTGCCACGAGTACGCGACCGCCACGGACGGCGTGCACGACCTGCTGAAGATCGCCTGCGACGACACGCGCGCCGAACGCGCCACTCTCGAACTGGCGGCCATCGACATCTGCTGCCAGAGTACGCATACTGATGGAGAGATATCGACACTTCGTCGTTCCTTGTACCTGAACGAAGTCACTAACCATAGATAAATGGATGAAAAACTTTATCGGGGTCCTGAAGGATTCCACCCCCGTTTTATAGGGGTAGGATCGCGGGCCGCACCCATGTAGAGACGGGGAGGCCTATAGCCTCACCGCCGTATCGTGGGCCTTCTGGACAGCCTTGAGTTATGAGGACCGGACTCGTGAGCGATAAATGAAAGGAATTTTCGGAAAATTCTTCATTGTTTCTTTGTAAAGAGGGGCACCTCCAGAGCACGTGGTTAAAATCACTGTGATTGTGGCAGTCCGGACAAAGTTCTGAAATATTGGAGTAATGGCTATAGGTTACGAGGCTATAGGGACGAACTATAGAGTTTCCTAAAATGAACTAGAGCGGGCTCCGGCGCTACGATCGTTCAGCGGTCGTGGGAATGATGGGTAGCGCATGGATTTGCGTAGTCTTCATGCTTGTGGGCTTCAAACGAACTTGTGGCCTTGTTTATTGCCGTGTTTTGGTTTTTTTATTGAGTAAAAGAAGGAACCTTGTTGAACTTTGTGTCCGGATTTGAATTAGTGAGCCTAAAAGGTTGCGGTGGTGCAGCGTAACTGCAAAACCTTAGCTAATGGTCGTCTCATATATAACAAAGCAGCTCCAAGCCACGCGAAGTCAAACGGAGCCAAAAATAGCTATAACAATTGATTATAGACACTTTTCATATGCCCCGCCGTGGTGGTCTAGTGGCTAAGGCACTCGGCTGCTGACCCGCAGGTCGCGGGCTCGAATCCCGGCTGCGGCGGCTGCATTTCCGATGGAGGCGGAAATGTTGTAGGCCCATGTGCTCATATTTGGGTGCACGTTAAAGAACCCCAGGTGGTCGAAATTTCCGGAGCCCTCCACTACGGCGTCTCTCATAATCATATGGTGGTTTTGGGACGTTAAATCCCGCATATCAATCAATTATTGAAGATTAGAATAATCTATGTACTACCCGTTATTCCCACGCTTGCTGAAGTGCCATGCGTTGGAGCTCCCATAGACACTAGCTCCAGAGCTCCCTCTATGTCATGAATCACTTACAGGCTTGATGAATACACATCTCTCACATGAAAAGCACACTTTGATGAATACACATCTCTCACATGAAAAGCACACTCTGATGTATAAACAGCTCAGTCAAATCTTTCAGCCGTGTGTGGTAAGGCGCCAGTTTAAACGTGGTGTGCAAAGTTGCCATTTTTTAAGGCGCCCTCCTTTCATAAGCAATCCAGTGCTCCGGAACCAGTTGTTTAGCGCCACACAATATATATCACGCTATTGGGAAATATAGTGTGATATATGTTTCGTTATATAGCCGGCATAAGTCAATAGCGGTGTCCATGTACCGAACTCGTTCTTCACCAGTTCGAGGAGGTTTTTTTTTTTTTTGCTGCAACCAATTCGTGAGACAATAAACACAGATGCTAAGGCCAATTGGTGATTACTCGAAAAAAGTGATTTATGGCCCATAAAAGCTTGTCTGAACTTGCGGCTAATTAAAGTTACTGTATAGGCTAATAATGGTCACTTCTATCAATCGCCGTTGCGGCTTCAAATTACTTTTTGTCATCGCCGTTTTGTTCTGACAGTATATTATGTGTTTTTTTTTTCCCCTCATTACCCAGAGCAATTTTACTTGATATTTCGCTACAAAGTATATTGTTGCCACGGGATGTGCTTTCCCAAGTTTACTTAACTGCGTGAAAGGTAACATAAATGATATTTAAAAGAATGAGTGCGTATATCAGAACGACCACGCTTGCTGAACTTTTAAAGGGGTGGCTTTTTGCCTAAGGTTGCTGAATGGCAACTTCGGCAATAACTGCTTCAAAAGTCCCAGTGTTTGACCGAAATGTGCCATATGCATATTTTTTATACTATAAAGTATAACGCCTTCATTTCAATCGCTTGCAAGTGAGAATACCTAGTTGCAATCACAATTGCAGACTTGTCAAAATGTTGGCTCTGGCTTACTGGACGACTTGTCCTTTCTTCCAACTTTCATAGAACTGCTGTCTTGCTTGGTTCGTGTATAATAGCAGCTGTGCGTCGAAGAGAACGCGTGGACTGTTACCACATGTCTATTAGCCCCGAGAAGTTGTAGTGGCGCCGCCTGGTGGGGAGGCACGAGTGACGTCAGGGCAAGGACTCTTCGACGCCTGCCGCTGCGCACTCACGTAACATGCGCTAGCGTAGCGTGTGGTTTCGTTGTTTGCATTCTCTTTTTGCGTGTATCAAGCTACAAATGAACGACAAAAACATCATTGCTATTGTTCCTGGTAAAATAATAAAACAGCTTTCTTTTGCTTCTGCCAAATGGAGCCCGCGCTCGGTCGTACAAATTTGTGTCACCCTGCTGTGGATAAGTTTCATTCCCGGCATCTGCAGCCGGCGGGGGTGTAAAACAAGAACACGTTTCTGCTTGGGTACAGCAGAATTACTGCCGCATAACCATGTCGTAATTTGGACTCGCAAAACATAATATTTGCATTAGCTCAAGTTGTTAACGGGTGATTTTGTTTCGCCTGCACTGAGGTAATTCGTATCGAACCATCGGCGTATCCACGGACAGCGTTTTTGCCGGCGTGCCAAGCACTGCGCATGCGCGCAGTATCGAGTCTCGCAAAATATGTCGAATGCGCTCACCCTTTATAGAATACAGCCGCAGTCGGTTTTTTTCGCGCATATTCGCTCAGTCACCATATTCTTCAGTGTCATGGTTTTTCGAATAATTTAGGTGCTTCGTTTCACCGCTATCACTGAGGTCAGATGAGGTTGAGGTTAAGCGCGGAAACTGCTGTCAGATTGTGTCATCAAGCAGCATCGTAACTTGGAAGAACTGGAAACTGGGCAAGTTGGTATGAATTTAAACTGCTGAAATAGTGCCTCAAGTTAAGACGAAATCCCGAGAGAGGAACATGAAACACAAACGCCTACTCTCAACTTAAACTTTACGGATGTCAATGAAATTTCAGTTGAGAGTCATCGCTTGTGTTTCGTGTTCATTTCTCGTGCTTTCGTCGTGCACCTTGTGGCGCCATTTCAGCAGTATACATGAGCATCGTATAGCTGATGTACGCTCGTAAGTACCACTTTATATAGCCACCTCGTAAATTGGGTTTTCTTCCAGTTGATTACTCTTGAGCATCAACCTCTGGGTAGACATGACGTGTTAGACCATGCAGTCATCGTCACAGTGAGGCAAATGATGTTTAACTATTACGTGAGCCACGTCGCTGGCTGAGTGCGCCATCGAAAAAAGAAGTTTGTTTTGTCGGTGGCGTTTGTTTTGCAAAAGTCCACATCTCAGGTGCTCGCACCTGAAGTCAATGCTACCTTTCATGGCGCTACAGTAGATCTGACCAGCATTTCACGCAAATTGGGGTTTACGACTACATAATCGCCGCTGACTGTTAAAAAGATATCTATGCATAGGATCACAGTAAGCGGAGATCACAGCATTTCCTAGAACGTTGTTTGTGCAGCCGCATTATTTTGTGTAATTCCGAATATGTTAAATGATGGTTTATGACAGATTCGTGTGAAGACTCCTATTGGAGAAAGTGCCATTCGGTCAAATCACGTATATTTTGGCAGTCGTAACATTCATGGTAAATTACAAGGCAGTAATAAATCGAAAAATTCTGATTTCATTCGTAATACTTCTGTACATATTTTTTAACGCCGCAGTTTATGCCTAGTTGTACAGAAAACAAAAAACGCTTAGATATTTTTATAGCACCGCCTCGTTAAAATATAGGCAGTGAAAACAACAAACGTCTTGCTGTCCTGCATCTCGATTTTCACAGTGAATCTTACGTTCGGACTGGAGTTTGCCTATTCAAAGCTATATCATAAAGGTTTTCTACAGGTTTAATAAGTTTCACTATATTTATTCAACCTTTGACCTAGTAACTTGAATGATTCGCATCGCGACATGGAGGAGTAATCAGTGATCCCCACAGTATCTATGAAAAAGCGGGCACGTTATACGGGCGCAGAAAAAGGTCGAAAACCGGGGCGGGCAAGTTCTTGCCGTGACATCACATCACCACAATATCAGTGACGCCAGTGATCGTTGTCGGAGCTAATTCACTTTATTACCCTGAATGTATACGAGTTCTCGATTTTGCACGGTAATCATATTGTTCACAGACCGCGATGTGAACAACGGGCCTCCGTACACGGTGAGCCCGTTCGACCTGTGCGAGCTGTGCGTCGGCGTCAACCTGCTCGTGCTGCTGATCGAGGGAGTCGCCATGTTTGTGGTCGTCTCCGTTCTCGACTCCGGAACCCTGTTCGTCATCCGGAATGTCTTGGCAGAAAGGGTACGAATTGTCTCCACCTTGAGAAGTTTTGCATATCATATATGTTTCGTAATCTAGAATTTATATACAGGCGTCACAATGAGAACTGGAAGTTAAAATTTATAAACAGCGCGTAAGAACATACACACAACATCGGCGTGTGAAGATTTTAGTGTTATTCTACATAAAAATGAAGATAATAAAATTTATTCAAGTAATATAGCTTTAGATTTTATTCGAAATCCACTAGTGAGTTTGTACCATGGGGCTTTTCCTGATTAGTTCATTCCATTCTTCGATAGTTCCGACCAGAAACAATTTTTCGTAAACATCGGCTATTAGTACGCCATGCCTAAGAACTGGAGGGCCGAAGTGACACTCTTCCTGGAGGCCGGAAGTATACAGTCCAGGATTAACAGTTTGAAGTTAGTTGGACAACTGTAGCCTGGCTTGCTGATTTCCTGCGTAAAGCTAGACTTGCAAGGTTTATAACTTATGGATCAACGCAGTAACATAGTTAACGCGTCATTTATTCTCATTCAACACACGCTTACATCGTTTTAAGTTGAGCCATTGTATAAAAATTCCTCATCAATAATCTGTTGTCCAGCATTGCACTATATTTACAGTCGGCGAGACGATCTTGCGGACATTCTTATAGCGCAGTGATCCGGAAACGGAGACAGTATGTAATGTAACCGGATACATAATGTAATGTCGCCAAAGCTAGTGCGGATGAGAAACATTCATTTCTCCTTCATAGTAAAAGGTCGGCCATTTTGCAACGTGTTCTCTTATTTGATATATTTTTAATGATATCAATTATATGGAACTCCTGACGTGGTATTGCCGATGGCGCCGGCACCGCCGTGAGGTTCTGCATAAACAAATCGACGAAATGGCTCCGCGAGACGTATTTGTTCCCTGTTGAAATGAAAGCGTATGAGTGCGCAACCAACAATGGCGGCTCAAGCTGAGACGCGTCAGCCATCTTTGGCCCACGGCGAGGAGGATGCGCCTGGAGGGGCGGCTGCGTGGCTGTGGAACTTTCTCCGCGCTTTACTCGGCAGCGCGCGCTTTATCTTGGCAAAAGTGTTGTGGCTCGGAGGAGTTGGTTATTCATGAAATTAGATTGTATTAGCGGGGCACATATGAAAATAAAAAGGGAAAGACGACAGAGACGTCTAGAAAAGTAGGCGCGTCTATAAAGATAGACAAGTTTCAGCGGGCTGTTTAATGCCCTTGTACATGCATGCTGTTTTCATGGTGTAGCAGCCACGTTTTCCTACAGAGCCATTTTGTTGATCTACGCCGGGAGAGGGAGGGATAAAGTAGTGAGCCGCTGGCCTTACGAGTTCGTTTATGATTCTAACTTGTCTTTGTTTCGTTCATTACTTCGACCTTGCGGTGAAACTGAGTTTTATTTGACTTCATGCAAAGAAGCAGATTATTTAACCTCCCGGTTAATGTATACTTTATACTAAGAGTTACACATGTGTCATTCTAAATGCCAAGTATTGGCGGCATATTTGTGTGGGAGGGGGGTGGGAAGGGGCGATGGCGACACTGCTTTTATTTATTTATTTATTTATTATTTTTTATTTTTATTACATACTGCCGGCCTCATATGGAGGCCTTAGGCTGGAGTGGGGCATAAATACACAACACAGAACAAGCTCGAAGTATTGAATAGAACTGCACAAACAAAAAAAGAAATACACGACTTAGTATTCTGCAAATCAACGCATTGGCAAAATATGCAAAAGCAACGAAAGGGAACCAATTGCATGGCAGTTAGTACTCGCATAGCACAAGGTACTCAAATTAAGTATTTACATACCAGAAAGCATTGCAGGTACTGACATTGTACTTACATAGCACAAAAAGTCAAAGGAAAAACAGGAAAAGACAGTTTCACCATTTATTCGAACACAGCAAAGTGAAAGCGAATGCAAGGGAGTACATGACTTTAATGACGCTTCGATGCTATATAAACTCAGCATATGAGGCGGAAATGCAATGCAAACATTCCTTGCACGCTATTGGAAATAAAAACAGAGTGAGTCCCGAAATGACTCGGTGTGCTGAAGCACTGGTACTCCCCGCCGCGGTGGTCTAGTGGCTAAGGTACTCGGTTGCTAACCCGCAGGTCGCGGGTTCGAATCCCGGCTGCGGCGGCTGCATTTCCGATGGAGGCGGAAATGTTGTAGGCCCGTGTGCTCAGATTTGGGCGCACGTTAAAGAACCCCAGGAGGTCGAAATTTCCGGAGCCCTCCACTACGGCGTCTCTCATAATCATATGGTGGTTTTGGGACGTTAAACCCCACGTATCAATCAATCAAACACTGTTACTCATCGCGCCCCCCGGGCTCTGTTCTCGGGCGAGCAGCGCGTGCGCTCAGTGAACGAGGTGCTGGACGCGGACGTGGAGCACGAGGCGAGGGAGGCACCGAGGCTCGCCGCCGCGCCGGGTCTCGAGAACCGCGCCCTGGTGCTGTGCGACATCTGGCGCTTCCCGGTGCTGAGCCGCGCGCCTCAGCTCAGAGGCGTCAACCTGTGCCTGGCGGAAGGCGAGTGCTTCGGCCTGCTCGGTGCTCGCCGGTCCGGCAAGACGCTGCTGCTCGAAGTGCTCGGAGCGCTCGCCGTGCGCACGTCGGGCGACGCCTACAGCCAGAAGTACGTGCTCTCGTCGTCTCCGAGGAAGGTATATACGCGCGCGCACGCGTTATTTTCATATCGGCCGATCTTTCCAAAAGCGAAGCGCTCTCAATCCAACCCCGAGTGCAATGATGATTCACCGGCGTTAGCATGGCGACCGTTTTTGTGCTCTCTACTACATCCTCGCGCAAAAAAAAAGCTTCCATTGCCAGGTTCCTTTATGGTATGTGGGCCAAGTGCTATATTGAAAGTAAACATGATGGGCGAGAATGAATTAACGGGAAAATATTCAAGCCATTTTTAGTAATGATATCAAACAACTTTTTGCGAACAAAAATTGTTCCGAATTATGTTAGACAAACTGCCTGTTTCAGTGGAATTTCTAAAGAAACACTCAGTCTGGACTTTACATGTGAAACATTACCATTAGATCACCTCTGAAAACGTACCTTCTCTTGTAACAATAACTAGTCTTTAGGCAGTACTCATGTTGTTTTAATTGATCTTCTGAATATTTATTTCATTTATCGTGTCGGTTTATATATTCAATCCAAACCTGCATAAATAATCTACTCCAGTGCCTACTAAAGTGGCTTTGTCCAATTCAGTCAAGAGGGCGTCCCGCAGTTCCTACTTTAGGGCCCCCTGGCACTGTTGTACTTTCACACGAGCCTTTTGTTTTGCGATTATACGTTTATAAACTTGAAATTTCCAGCCGTATTTATCCGTGAGAAGAACCGTACATTCGTGTAGACGTAATGGCCACGTCGCTGCAAACTTTCGCGTGACCTGTACCAGCTCAGCGACCCGTTACGCGTCCTCCGCAGTGGCAGTCGCAGATCGGCTACTGTCCGGCGTCAGGCGGCCTGCTTTCCAGTCTGGCAGTGACTGACCAGCTAACGCTGTTTGCGCGGCTGCGAGGCGTTCCGCGGGAGCACCAGGAGACATGCATCAACGGCTTGATCGGCGCCTGCAACCTGAACGACAAGAGGTTCGACTGTCCCAGGGACTTCGGGTGCGTGCGTTGTACGTTTTCGGGGCGTAGTGCTCAGGTGGTCATTTAGCGGCGTTGCCGTTGGCGTCGGCGGTGTAACCGATAGAGCGAACGAGGACGAAAGAGAGCAAACGCTCAGTCTGTCAATATCGGGAAAAGCTGACCTCACTTTCTTCCTCCATTACGCACGCCGGCCTCTCGGTCGGAGCTCGGGCGCATGCAGGGCTGGCAGGTTCACTGTGGCTGGCTTCGCTTGTCGTAACGGGGTTGTTGACGTCTCGCTTGGTTCGCGACGCCTGCAATGCGCAGAGTGCTGGGCGTGTAGCACTCGAGCGCTGACAGTTCCCGTGGCAATGTGTAACGAATGTTACATAGCCGCAACTGTGGATAGCCAGAGCTGCGCTTAGAACTCTCCGTGCCTTTTTCTTTCTCTAATTTACGACTTTATCGTTAGCAAGCAAATTCCAGCGCAGCACATTCCGGGAAGTGTCATAATCGTCGGTGAGCTTCTTTTCTGTACACAACTGAGTCTATCAGGGAGAGAAGGAGATTGTATGGAGCCAATGTTGTTTATTAATCTAATAAATTCACGAAAACGATAGGCTTTATGGATGGTGTATAATCACACGATTGGAGGTCCCAAACTGGGAACTGTGGGTGGCGACCCCCCATCATGAAATGAATGGGCGCCAGTGCTGTTAACAAAAAGTAGTTACTAACATGAATGAATGAAAAGCAATTGTTCGAAGGTCTCGTTTTATCCACTGTCACACAGGTCCCGTTAATTAGGGAGGCGATCGCCGGGCTAATTCCAAGGGCCGAAGTATCGGCCCCCCGAACCGCACCACGAAAGCGTGGACAATTTAGAAGTGGTCCTTTTTGGCGCGCCACCGGACGCCGGCTGTGGCCCAAAGAACAAGTCAGAGCCGAGAGTTGATAACCAAAACAGAATTATATTTCAATAATGGCAGATCGAAAACAATACACAAGTATGTACACTCCGCAATAGTTGCATACAATATGTCACCAATCAAACAACGTACTACACAGTACAATCAGCCACACTCGAAACAACGGACACAGACAACAATACGCACTACAATGCAGTCGCATGCATTGAACAACCAAGACACCTAAAGACTAAAGAGATAGGAAACCTATTCAGTCCAAAGTTCTTGGAACAAAAGTCTGGATGATACTCTTCCGAGAATCACTCACTCAAAGTCCCGTGTTGTTGTCGTTCCGCTGCCCCTGAAGTTTCTCTTCCAGGAAATCTCGCGTCTTCAATTGGCCTCTCTCCAAGCTTCAAACTTCTTCGCCGGAAACACGTCGGCTTTACACACGCAGCTGTTGCCACGCGTCTTCGCTCGATAGCGGTAAACACACACTCTTACCTGTAGCTCGAGTCGTCACCCCTCAGATGGAAATCATCTTCTTATCCTGCTTTGTCTCTACGAACAAAACCTTCGCCGACTACACGGCGGAATCCCTACGCGCTCTGGCGCTAACTTCCGTCTTCTCCTGATCTTTCGTCTCGGCTGCTCGATTAAATACTTTCCGCGCGAGATTCCAGAAAGTTCTCGTCATTTCGTCGGCGCGATACGCAGCGAAGGCTGGGGAGAGAACGAGAGGATACGAGGGTTGTCCCCGTTGGATGACTCAACCCGGTCTCGCCACGCCTCTTTCCTTCTAGAAATCTCGAGTGCTCGCTCGGCCGCCGATGTGGGGTGAGGAGGTTCGTCGGCGAAGCCACGCTTCCGAGAGGAGAGGGAGCGTGCCCGGGGAGCTTGTTTTCTTTTTTCTCTTTTTCTTTTGACCTCGCAGCGTCACTCCGGCGTTTCGTCGCGGGAATTTGGCGGCGCGCCCTTTTTGAGCGCTCGTTCTGTGACATCCACATAGTTCATCTCACTTTCGGTTGCGATTCCTAGAGTACAGTTAGCAAGTAACGTTGCCTATGCTTCTTTTTTGTCTTGGTAATCGTTTGTTGCATTCTTTCAGTATAGCCAAGATGTTACACACAGTTGCAGTTTATCAGCAGCAATGGCAAGGAACAAAAAAAAAGCGTAAAGGTACTCTCGTGTTCTCTGACGCATTTGCCTAAGACTACTTGAAGGCGAAAGCTATCTTCTTTATGAATGTATTGATCCTCCCACACACCCTCCGAAGGATTTGTGCCCTAAACGTGGTTTTGAATATATCCTCCAGAACCAGAGGCATTGCAACTTTTCTGTCCCCCCCTCCTCTCCCCCTGGCTTTGCACGGACTCCGTGATCGACCCGCATCTGATCAAGCGGCGATGTCATGCGATGAGTTCATATGGTGACGTCATCACTTGTTAATTTTTTTTCGTATCACTCTTATTTACACCACCGTCGGTCAATTTTCGCATTTCGTGAAGCATGTAAGCCTTTCGCCTGAAAACAAAACTGGGTTATGTCTATAGCGATGCGGCAAATGAAATCGTGCTTCCGCCGTTCCACGCAGCATATCGGACAAGCGCAAGCTGTCGTTGGCCATTGCGCTGATCGGGGCACCAAGCCTCGTCTTCCTGGACGAACCGCTCAAAGGCGTCGACACCGGCACCAGCCAGAGGCTATTCGATTTGCTCAGATACGTGCGCACCAGGGCGAAGGCCACCACGATCATCTACGCCTCTGTCAGGTCAGTCTGCCGGTGGGCGTCAAATGCAAGAACTCTAAAGAGTGGTGGGGACGCGCCCCGAAATCTATGAACCGGGGATACATTAGCGTGTAACTTTTAAAACTGTCGTTTAGGAAACATTCAAACAGAGTGTGTCTTCATATACTAAAAAGCACCGCCTTCACATTTTAATAAAGGGGAAGGTTCTGTTTGGTGTTGCATAGGTATGGAAATTTTCCCCACCTGTGTTGTGGGTAGCTTAAATGAGAAGGGAGTGGGGGAAACCTACGCCATGTCACTTCGCGGTTCTATTTTGCCAGTGTCACTACTTGCAGAACCAAAGTCAATGGCAACGTGTCGCTCTACGAATGACGTAACACGTTTCTGCTCAGATCACGTGACCCTTTCGCGTGTTATGGCGGTTTGAAGTCGGCTATACGGTGTGTAAACACGCATTCAAACTCTATGTATATAGGAAGTTTGCCTCGACGTCATCGCGGTGGTCATCTTGAGATGCTGTCGTGTCGCGAGAAGCTACGTGAATGTGAACACGTCTCTTGTCTTGCAGTGGGAGACAAGTCGATAACGCCGCTCATGTGCTCAAAAACTGGTGTGCCATCAAACGCGGAATGATGCAAGCGTGATATGGCGCTTTGCCATCACTGCGACCGCCATGTTTAACTATAGCGCGTAGATAAGCTACGCACTTCCCTGACGTCGCGTGAAAGCTATGCTTCTCATTAGTTCAGGGAAGCGCGGGACAGTGGTTAGATCGAGGTTACTAATAGCATTCGTCAAACATAAGTATTTTGAGGCGAACGTTTAGAGAAGAATAATTTTTCTTCGCTGGGTCACAAAGATAATGTCCTTTTGTCGTGACGTTGGCCATACAGAGTCGCATTAGTGTTCAACAACTTTTTTTTTTCACTTTGTAGAAAATACTGGGACTGAGCAGTGAAGGCGATCTTAAGGCGTGCCTACTGAACAGGTACCCGATCGAAATATTCGTAAGACTCCAATTAACAAGCTCTTTCACCAAATTTGTTATAAAGAATACGTGCCAAATCTATTCTTAAGAACATGTGCCGAGTCTGTACCGCCCAATATAGCTGCCGAATCTATTCGTCGAAATAGGAGGCGACCAATGGGACGTATATTTCTTTGTCGAGTTTCTGTCCCCGTTCCTCGTGCGCAGCATGCAACAGCTGGAGTTCGCTTGCGACCGACTGGCCATCATGGTGGACGGTCAGCTGCAGTGCGTCGGCACCATCGAACACTTGCGCGACAAGTTCGGTCAGGGCATGGTCATGAAGATTCAGCTGGCCGCCTCCGAGATTGATCGCAACATCGAGGTGCAGCCGGTCATGACGGCCCTGTTCCCCGACAGCCGCCTGATATACTACCACCAGGTACGCACAGTCCTGTATTGCACTTGGGCGCAGTGTGCGTGGTTATAATGAACTTCCAGCACGACGACTTACTGCTTTGAACAGAGCACGTTACATAGCGATCAATCGTCACGCCAGTGACGCCGAGAACGACCGCCAGGGGCGCGAAAAAAGTTAATGCGCGTTTTTTCCGCTTAAGGGTGTGAACAAGTGCGGCGTCTACTGCGGCGCAGCTGCCATATTTTGGCCCAAGGCGTCTTGTTGGCGTCTCACCGCCCAACCGGGGCTCCGCTGATAGTCGCGGAACGCAGCTAAAAATAAAGAAGTGTCGTGATGACATCACCTCTTTCGAAGAATGGCAACACCCTAAAGAATACGCAGGCATCGAGGCACACTATATAGAGGCGACATTTTCGCAATCACCGTCAGCGACACCATTTTACATGACGTCGCCATTAAAGACAGCGCGCATTTGACAGAGATATGTCCATGAAGGACGGAAGGAAGTGGGAGGGAGCACCACGTGATCCGCATAGGCTTGGCAAGCAAACCTACTCTAACGACGCCGATCCCGAGCAGCGCGCACTGCCTCCTGGGTAGAATTGGGCACACCGAATCGCCCCCAGCACACGCAACCAGAACGGGCTGGCCAGTAGTATCGCTTGCCCATCGCGCGGCCAGGGGCTTTGCAACACAAGTAATCATCGGACGACTTTGAGTTTATCGTCTCACGGATTCACTGCCGCGAAAAAAAAATTAGAATCAGTCAAGCGCGAGTGGAGTTATTTGTCGCACACGTTAAACGGTTTCTTTCTCATTTCATTCCAGCAGGCACGCTGAAAGCTACCCAGGCAGTAATTACAAGAGGGCAAGGAGCTACGCCCGTTGTCAGCCTGCATGCACCGTGACCTTAAGCCTCTTTTATCTTTTTTTTTCTTCATACGCACAGCTCAGCATAACTGTATCGCGAATGCGGTCCCGTTGCGGCGGCAGCGGTAACTATGCAGCTCACGATGCTCAGTTCAGCCAATGGCCGTAGTCTTTCTGTTTATGACGTGCTCCTTTTGGGTGTTAGCAGCATGTCACAAAAGAGCAAATGATTTCTAGCCGACACTGACATTTAGTTGTAGTTACAGGCCTATAGTGCTACGCTATAATGTTTGGCTCGCGTGTTCTCGGGTGAGTCGACTGCCGATCGGCAGTGTTTTCTGAACATGCTGAAGAAAAAGCGTTGCAAGGTTCTTTTATATTTCTGTCACTATGGCTCAAAATTGTCACGTGATGCTCCCTCGCAATGCCTTCTTCTGTGGAACGGTGCAGCTACGGAAGCCCCAGCCAGCCTGTTTGAGGCGCCTGTTTCTGTTCGTACAACCTCTATAGCAAATTGTGTTTGCATCCATTGGCTCCCACATTTACGTTAGATTTCAAGACTGAATGGTGGATTTGGTAAAATAGTAATATGTTTTTTTTTAATTTTTCTTACCTAAGTAAACAGGAAACGACCTGCAATGACATTCAAGAGCGCTGTCACGTGGTGCATTTCCCCTCAGTAACGTTCCTATATATATGATTGCTACAGAACGGTGTTCAAAGAAACGTTTAAGGCTGTACGGTTTGCTTGGTGCATCGTTATGTGGTCCTGATTGGCGTCCTTCATTGCGAACTGTTAGCTTAGTCCGCTCGTTTGAGACAGTGGCCTTCGATAAGGATATGCCAGTTGTCATTATTGACTGAACTTTTTTTTTTCTTTCAACCTTATGAACAATCTCAGTAAATAAGCTTTTTCACGAATACGCACCTTATACTTAGGATTATTTCTGTGTGTGCCACGAACCAGATGAAAGTCAACGTTCGCTCGGATATTGAGCGTGGCTTGTAAAGATAATACCAAAAGTTAAATGCCATATGACCCGTTATTGTGATAGCAGCTATGTCGACACTCTCGGATGGATTGTGCCGCCGACGTCGATGAGCGCCATCATTCGCCGTATATATATATATATATATATATATATATATATATATATATATATATATATATATATATATATATATATATATATATATATATATATATTGTAGGCATTCATTAAGCGCATCTACTATCTTTACACATATTCATCATCATGAGTGGTCGTCATCTTCATCTGCTGTGGGGACTTGGCTTGTCCGAGTTCTGTGCCTTGGGCGTGGTCGCTTCATTGCGTCTTCTGGGCCTAATAAAGGTTGCCTTCACCATTACATCACAAGTGGTGGAGTGTGCTCTACGATCTTCCGTCCTCTCCCAGCCTGATCTGCCTCCTGGAGCTCCGCTCAGGTCGTCGTTTGTGCCAGGTGTCCGTTAACATGCCTCAGGACGAGCCAACCGGCGCTTCTGCGTCTACCTCCATGGCCCCGGCTACCGCGGCCTATTCATCGTGGATTATCACCGCGCACCAGCGTGAGCCGCCCACGTTCGCCGGACTTCGAGGTGAAGATGTGGAAGATTGGTTGGGACCAGTTCAATCGAGCGAGTTCTACTAACAACTGGGATGATCCTACCAAACTTCGCCGTGTTTCTTTCTATCTGACAGGCTTAGCGAAAACATGGTTTTTCAATCATGAAACGGACATTATGGACTGGACACGTTTCAAGCAACAGCTTTGCCAAATTTTCGGCACCCCGGTGGTTCGTTCAGATCTCGCGAAGAAGACACTGGATGCTCGCAAGCAACAATGCGGTGAGTCGTACACATCGTACATAGAGGATGTGCTTGCTCTCTGTCTCCGTTTCAGCACGTCCATGTCTGAGAGAGTTCGTCATCTGTTGAAAGGGATCGGCACGGTCGCGTTCAATGCCTTGGTCATTTAAAACCCGACTACAGTCGCTGACGTTGTTGCCACGTGCCAACGCCTAGAGGAACTTGAATCGCAACGGTTACCGCCGGACAGCGCTGAAAACACCACCACGACTGATGCCTCATTGCGTGCCATGATCTGGGCGATTATACGGGAAGAGCAGCAATCTTTCGGCCTCTCAATGACACCGAGTCCACCTCCCCCATCCAACACTGTTTTGCGTGACGTTATCAAAGAGGAGTTGGCGTCCATGACCGGGCCAGTGTATGTAGACTCTCCAGTACCTCGACTCCAGCCGACGTACGCACAAGTCCTCGCTGGCTCACCACCCGTCGTACAACCGATGCCCGCACACTCCACGCCTGTCCCGCTGGCTTGGTTGACTCCGAGTGCGCCTAGCCAGCCCTTTCACCCACCGTGGCGGCCGCCTCGTCCGATCTGTTATTACTGCGGTTATCGGGGCCACCTTGCACGCGTCTGTCGGAAGCGTCAGCAGGACGAGCGTCGAGTATTCGACACCTACGGACGGGATGATGGGACAAGCTGGTACGCTTTCCAACGTCGTCCTTATGATCCGCCGCTACGTTGCTCACCGTCTTCAACTGCGACATCTGAGCCAGCCAGTTCTTACCGCTCTACTAGACGCCAGCTCACCCTCACCCCTCCGCCGCTCCACGTCTCCATTGCGACCTGTCTCGCAATTCACCAACCAACGCCCGGAAAACTAACCTCTGCAGCTTTTGGAGGAAAAGCTGCATCGAATGAAAAGACAAATTCCTCCAGTGCGTCCATATAATACGATATCTGTTTTAATAGAAGGTGTGTACGTGGACGCTTTAATACACACTGGTGCTTGTTTGTCTGTGATTGATCGTTCTTTGTGCTCACGTCTGCGAAAAGTCACCACCTTTTATGATGGACCTACACTGCACGCTGCTCAAGCGGACGCCATTAGACCTGCCGCTATGTGCACCGCTCGTGTTTTCATAGCTGGTCTTCTTCATTTTGTGCAATTTGCTGTGCTGAGTTCGTGTGCCCACCAGCTTATATTAGGCTGGGATTTTCTGTCTACGGCGAACGCTTCCATCTACTGTCGAAAAAATATTATTCATATGATGGAAACTGACTATGCCCTGTATGCGGATGACAAGCCCGTTCGCTAGCTCGCTGTTGAAGATACCGAGCTACCACCTGGTCATCAGCGGATATAGTTGCCATCACTTCTAATGTGATCGACTCTGGTGACGTGTTTTTCCAACCATCTGCACGCTGTCTCGCAAGAGGTATAGCCCTTGCTTCAGGTCTAGCGCGGTTCCACAATGGCTCCGGACTTCTCTACGCTACAAACCAGACTTCTGAGAAAATTCTCATTCCTAAAGGCACCACAATGGCTTGCGTTTCTAAATCTCAACCTGTCTCTGTTGTCCCGCTTATGCCAGAGTGTTCTGGCCTTCCTTCTATTGGACGTTCATCAAGCGTTTCTGTTCTTGCTGCGACTATTAGTCCAGAACTGAGCTCTTCACAGACAGATCAGTTGCTTGCCTTGCTACAAAAGCGTACGAGATTGTTTGATGCCCATTCCTCATCCCTGGGACCGACGTCCATTATTAGGCATCGTATCCAGACCGATGGCACTTCCATCGTACGCCGTCGACCATATCACCGTCAACCAGTTTTGTTTGAGGGTAGATGCTATAGGCCCGTGTACTGTACGATGTCAGTGCACGTTAAAGAACACCCTATGGACGAACTTGCCGCAGGCCCTCCGCTGCGGCGTGCCCCGCAATAGTACGGCGGTTGTGGCACGTGAAACCCCTGACATCATTAATTACATTCATTTGCGCACACTACCGTCGTTACTACGTTTTCTTAGATGACACAAGCTTACGAAAATTGCGATCATTGTAGGTCAGCGCCTGTCTGCGCCTTTTTCACTGGTGTTTATTTCGTGTCCTTTAATAGCAGCCATTCGAAATGCCAGCACGTCCATACTTACGTTCTTTCCAAAACAAGTTGTTGCATCGGTAGCACGTTGTGGCGCGAGAAAAATTGAAGCAAGCGCACTACTCTTGCCGCGGCGTCATCCGTGCAGGGTCTTCTGAGCTTCGAGATGACCGAGAAGCGTCCCTGGAGCGAGGTCTTCTCGAACGTGGAGCTGCTGATGCAGGGATTTCAGTGCGAGTACTTGCTCGTCTCGGGGGCCACGCTCGAAGAAGTCTACATGGCCTTCGCAAAATAGCGAGGCGATGGCGCCTCCCACCGGACTGCTATAGCGCTTCTGCCATTGGCGCGTTTTCGTTTATCGTACTGCGCATATATATTTATACATAGTTCCCTTACTGCGTTGTTTTCGAATCGTTTGTCATAGCCTTGTTCATTTTTGACATTCGATTTATTCATTGTCTTTCAGCGGCGCAAAACATTTTCTTCACCCGCACCTCGGCATGCCGTTTTTTCATCGCCTCGCGAAGTTTTCTCGTATCGGCTGCGCATACGCCAGCGTAGGCCCTATATTTATTGGCCTTGAAGGATCGTTTCTCTATAGGTCTGCGTTAAATTGTTTCGTGAGATTTAATAAAGTGTAACTTCGGTAGTCAAACGGATCCGAGTATACTTCGTCGCAAAATTACTCCTCTGAACTTCGTACGCGTCCGCGCAGTATAGTGACGCAACAGACAATAGAGAGTTTTAGTACTGCGGAATGGTGCTACGTACGCATTACGCAAGCGCCTTGCGTTGCGTGGCGTCGTTTGCCACTAATCGGCTTTTAGTACGCCGTAGTACCCGCGTATGTAACGAGCGTGAAGCGTGTTGCGTCATCTGGTAGATCAAAATAGAAGCACGTGTTGTTGACAGCCAATGTGAGCCAATCCAAGTGTTATAGCCAGATTATGGCCATATTTTAAGCCACAGAGCCGGTCGGTGCTTGCCTTCGATGCCGCTATTTTGCAAAACGAAGTCTCGCGCTTTCGCGAACTTGTTCGAGAGCGGCACGATCAGCTCATACGTACGCACGCACGCATCTCATGCGTGCGTACGTAGCGGCTGCGTACGTAACGCGATACGTGCGCGTTGCGGTCTGCGCATGCGCACTACGCAGAACGTGGCGTCCTTACGTACGCAACGCCGCCACGTACGCAGTACTAAAACTCTCTAATGTCACGTGATCGCAACGTGGCGCACATGCCTGCGGAGGCTTTCACGTTTCATTGTCTTTTCCATCGTCCATATGCGAAGTGGTGAGATCATTAATTCGCAGTGAAACGCAACGCGAGTTTATTGAATCGCTTTGTTTCGTAAGCAACAGGTGAGTCAAATGAAAAAAAATAAATAAAAAAATGGCAGATCCCACGTACAGTGGGAATCGATCACATGCGGTAGCACGAATGAGGAAGGTTGATATGTCACTCTAAAATCAGCACAATGTGACGAGTTGGAGGTGAAGGATGCCGTACATGAATTACGTGTCATGATTATCATGTTTGGATGTGTAGTTTACGGTAAATGATGCCGTACATGACTTACGTGTCATGATTATCATGTTTGGATGTGTAGTTTATCTTCGTCATCTATTCACGTCACATGATACCAAATTTAGTATATGTGGAGGTAGCGAAACGGTCACGAGCACACAGTGAGCGTGGTAGATTGTCATTTTCTTAAATGACACCCGTGTGAGCATTATCATGTTTGCACCAGTCTTATACTTTCGTCATCCATTGACATCACGTAACACCAAATTTGGCATATGTGAAGCTATCGAAACGGCCGCGAGTGCATCATGAGTGTGGCATATAGTCATGCTGTTACATGACACACACGTCATGATTATCATGTTTGGATGTGTCATTTACCTCTGTCATCCGTTCGCGTCGCGTATTACCGAGTTTGGTACACGAGAAGCTAGTGAAACGGCCACGAGCGCATCATGAGCATGGCATGTAGTCATGTTGTTACATGACACGCACCTCATGCTTATCATGTTTGCACCAGTCACATACCTTCGTCATCCATTCACGTACCGTATTACCAAGTTTGGTATATGTGACGCTAGCGAAACGGCCGCCAGCGCATCATGAGCGTGGCATGTAGTCATGTTGTTACATGGCACGCATGTCATGATTTTCATCTTAGGGTCGCTCGCTTGTGTTGGGCATGCAATCATGTCATACCATACCAGTTTTGCAACATGCCATGTGAACGAAACCACCGCAAGAGCTGCAGGACCTTGAAATATAAATCGTGACATTCATGACACACATATGATTTTCATGTTACGGCAAGTCAAATATGTTCTTCATACAGTCATGTTATGCCATACCGGTATCAATACCATTATCGAAACAGCCAGGAGAGCTAAAAGTCGTAGGCGGCTAGCTAGCTAGCTAGCTAGCTAGATAGATAGATAGATAGATAGATAGATAGATAGATAGATAGATAGATAGATAGATAGATAGATAGATAGATACGCTCAATGTCGCCGAAGTTCGCTAACAAATGCTTCGCATTAAAAAAAAAAACATGTTCAGTATGTAACACTCTCTCCGGCATTAGGGGGCGGAAGCCCGTCTCACACTTTATAATGCATTGTTATACCGTGTCCCTCGAGATTAGCTCCGGCAACGAATGTCGGAGGCAATCTCAGAAGCCATGGATATACATTCGGATACCACATTTTTTGCAAGACAGGACAAGCCACTGTATGGGAAGAGTGCATTAAATTACCTGTAGGTAATTTAAACCGTTGTGCATTTCACACAGCGGCTTGTTGTCTTGCTAGAAGCCTGATCCCCGATTGTAGATGTAATTTAATGCCTGTAGGTAATATAATAGGATGAAATCGGGTAATAGACGTCGTCTGATTGCATCCGTCCGGCTGTTGCAGTAATACATTGATAAAAAATCTACCCACTTAAAGTCAATGGCCGCAATGCTTTAAAATCGGCGGAAGCAGATGCTCGTAATTATACGCATGTAAGAGACTTATTCTCATAATGAAGTGCCATGGCGTCTACACTGCTACGTCGCACGTTGAATACAATAGCGAAGAGAGAATGGAATTTCGAAAAACGCGTACCAACCCCCCGCTTACTCCGTGTTTACGCGCTTTGAGTGTCGATTGATGCGCTCTCTCGCTTCCCAACTGCAACAGCCCGCACGATTTGCTCAGCGAGTGGAGCGACAGCCCCATAAAGGCCTTGGTTCCGGGTTCGACTCTTGGAGACCAGGACGAATTTAGGACAACTGTAGCCTTGCTTTCAGAGCAATCTGGGGTGTGTTCAAATACTCACCGTAGACAGCTAAACAGACAGTAAAGGGATGGCAGCCAAATACTCGCCATAGACAGCCAAATAGACACAGTAAATGGATGGCAGCCATAGTTAACTTAAGTCCCATTCCAATTCTCACGTAGCCCGCAAAATAGACAGCTCCAAGAAGACCGCATCGTAGACAAATACGATGCAGGCTACTTTGCTGTCTAAACAAGATGGCGGCTCAGCAATTTCGCTCAGATAGATTAAGTCTCGCCAGAATGGTCGTCTGCACACAAGCAGACCCTTTCCCAGACGCTCAATGTGAGTAACGTTTGTTTTTGATTTCAACACGAAATAAGCCAGAAAAGACAACTGTTACCTTTGATAAATTAGCCTTTTCTTCTCGACGCGAGGTGGCGCATCGTCACGTAAAAGCCGCTCACAAGTGCTTCTAATTTTCGGACAGCATAGGCTCAGGTGCTGTCTTCTAAGCAGTCTGCGTAGACCTGTCTCCGTGCTGTCTAAGAATTGAAACAAAGCCCTGAATGGGTTTATTTTGTGTTTTACGAAACGGGCGGATCCCAGCTTTCCCTTTTACAAACGTGCCGGGTCTGCGAAAACCAGGCATGTGTATACGGGGAAGGAGCTGCATTAACGTAAGTCGCAAAATTGCATCGCAATGCAGCTTACCCCTATAAGATGGTGATCTTTCTCTACAAGCCCGGTATGGCATGTAGGAAGGGTATTGCAGCTCCATTAACATCGTCGGCTATTCCTTTCGTAACTGCCGCCTTCCTAATTTCTGGTGAGCCAGTGGCGACTACAGTGGAATTTACCCACTGCGGCGCATACTGATTTTTATGGATAGACCATGCATGATTACATGACAACAGCGTGATGACAGGATACGCCGACAAGCCTGGAGTGCTTCGAACCTAATGTGTACTTAGCCAAAAGTGAAATGAATCGGGGAAACGTTGAAGAAAAGGGCAGCGTCTTGACCACCATCACAGCGGGTAGTTTGTTTTTAGCGTGGGTACTATGGCACATACCTACTATGGCCCATACCCACAAGAACACACAGTCGCGTATGAATGGAAACCCATGGTTGTTCGTTTTTAGCTGAATATGTATTTCATTAACGCGTCGTACGTATACTAGCCCAACAGCGTGTTTATACTAGGCGCCCATCAAACAACACATGAAGAGACCAGCAATGATATTCCAGCGAGAAGTAGAAGAACTAATAATAGCATACACCAACAGTCTTCAAGAGAAGAGGGCAGAACAGTCGTTTATTTCATATCGCATCTTATATACACAAAGAAAAAAATCAAAAACAGAATGAGCCATAAAAGAAACAAAGTGCATAGAAGTGTCAAAGCCTTGTGTTGTTTGTTTTTATTTTATTGTGTTTTTGTGTCTTTTTATTTTGACAACCTCATTGTTCGACGGAAGACAAGCGCGATTATTCAGTGCACACATCGGATTCGCGACAACATATTGATTTTTTTTTTTCAATTATCAGCACACTCGTGTCATTAGTCTTTTCGGCAGTAATATGCACAATAACCTACGCATCCATTGTCTACCGTAGCTTCATGTAGGGACACTCGCAGAAGCAAATGAGGTACGAGTCCTGTGCAATTGCGTGAAATGTGCAAGTGATGCGAAATCTACGTGTAAATTGCTTACACATTTTGACTATTCGTTTTATAAGTCCTTACAACATTTTGTGTCGAAGTCGAGATACAGAGAGGTACTTAACTCTTGCCTCAGCACACGTTCCATACCACGAGCAAGCAGTGGGAGCTGCAGCACACGCCATTGTCGAGAATACGTCATTTACAGCTCATCGCTTGCACAGAAGGAATTCCGCGTGTTTGTATGTGGCAAGGGCTTAAAAGAAACGCCATAGTCGTGTTGTTGCAGGGCATTAACACTAACATTTTTCAGGCTATCAGCAACAGAAGTCTATAGAAGA